TCTATCTTAATATAAATTCCATTTTAAGTGTCGTATTAGTTTAATAGCGTTCCATAAAAATATTGCTTGAAGTGGTTTCGCGACAGCATGCTAAAGGGAGGCGGGCCGCGTTCAAAAGCTTGTTCTATTTGCGTCCGATCATTATGCGCCAGCACGCGCCTTTAACTGCGTAACAGTATCTGAGCCGTTTCCGCTCGCACGCACGCTCTCGGCTTTCAAAAGTCTTCTTTGTTACATCTACAGGAAAATATCTTCGAATATAAATTACTGCCTAACTTTAACAGGATCCTGGAGAATTTCAAAGTTACTTGATGGCTATATTTTTTTGTGTTATAGCAACCATCTACGAGAGTGACACTGAAAGTTCTTAGAAAATCAAAAACTAAACAAACTAACAAGTTATTAGTTTTGTTATATCTTTTCAAAATACCGTCCATTTACATCAATATATCGCTGCATCCGATGGAACCACTGAGAAAAGCACTTTGCCCACTCGTCCTTAGGGGTCTCTTCGACGGCATTATAAAACGCAGCCAGTGCTTCCTTGGCGTCCATAAAACGTTTTCCTCGACGTTTTTCTTTTATTTTCGGAAATAAGTAAAAATCGCAAGGTGCGAGGTCGGGGCTATAGGGCGGGTGATCCAGTAACTCCACGTCTGACGTCGCCAAGTAGTCGATTGTTTGCTTGGCGGTGTGCAACGAGGTCGTGGTGAAGAAGGATCCTACTGCGAGGTCGTTTCTCTAGAACTTCTTACCGAAGACAAGTGGCAAACAACTTTTAGTGTACCACTCTGCAGTAACTGTTTTTCGATCCTCTAAAACAATTGTTGCGTAATGACCTGTCCTTCAGAAGAACGAGGCCACCATCTTTTTTCCCACGCTTCGACCTCTCTTCACTTTAGTTGGCAACTCCTCGGAAGGAAACACCCAGACAGCAGACTGTCTCTTAGTTTCAGGATCATAACAATAAATCCATCTTTCGTCACCCGTAAGTATGTCGAACACAGCATTTGAGTCACCTTCGTTAAATCTTTAAACCATTTCACGACACTAATTCTCAATAATCAACACGACGGAGTTTTTGGGCCTCTGTCAAATTATGAGGTATCCACCGGGCACAAAGATTCGTGACTGCTAAATGTTCATGGAGGATTTTGTGCAGTTGACTCATACCGATGCCTATCATCATCATCATCATCATTACAGCCTTTCATAAGTCCACTGCTGAACATAGGCCTCCCCCAAGGAATGCCACAAAGCACGGTCCTGAGCCACCTGCATCCATCGACTTCCTGCATGTCTTACCAGGTCGTCACTCCATCTCGTGGGGGGGTCGCCCTACACCTCGCCTACCGGTACGAGGCTGCCACTCAAGAACCTTTCTTCCCCATCGGTTGTCGGTTCTTCGAGCTATATGGCCGGCCCACTGCCACTTCAGCTTACTAATTCGTTGTGCTATGTCGGTTACTCTGGTTCTACTGCGGATATACTCATTTCTAAGTTTATCACGCAGAGAAACCCCGAGCATAGCCCTCTCCATAGCTTGCTGAGCGACCTTGAGCTTCCTCATACGGCCAGCAATGAAGGACCACGTCTCAGATCCGTAAGTCATCACTGGCAACACGCACTGGTTGTACAATTTCGTTTTAAGGTTTTGAGGTATGTCTGACGAGAAGATGTGTCGTAGTTTCCCGAACGCTGCCCAGCCGAGTTGAATCCGTCGATTGACCTCTCGGTCGAAGTTGGACTTACCTAGTCGGACCATTTGTCCCAGGTAAACATACTCGTCAACAACTTCGAGCTTAGTGCTCCCAACAACTATCGGCATAGGTGTGACATGGACATTAAACATGATCTTTGTTTTGTCCATGTTCATCCTAAGACCTATTCGTTGGGAGACACAATTGAGGTCATTGAGCATGATGCTTAGGACCTCCAGCGATTCTGCCATAAGGACTATATCGTCGGCAAATCGAAGGTGAGTGATGTACTCGCCATTGATGTTAATACCGTATCGTTTCCAGTCCAGAAGCTTGAAAACGTCTTCCAATGCAGCGGTGAAAAATTTCGGGGATATAACGTCACCCTGTCTTACACCTCTCTGCAATTGGATAGGTTTCGTACTCTGATTCTGTACTCCGATAGCCATCGTAGCTCTATTGTACAAACACTTCAGCACTTCGATATACCGACAGTCAACTTGGCACCGCTGAAGGGACTGCAGCACCGCCCAAATTTCGACGGAATCAAAGGCTTTCTCATAGCCCACATACGCCAGACATAGTGGCAAATTGTACTCTTCGGACTTCTGTACAATTTGCCGAAGGTATGTGGTCTATGGTGCTAAAGCCCTTTCGGAAACCGGCTTGTTCGGGAGGCTGGAAGTCGTCAAGTCTGCGCGCGAGACGATTCGTAATGACTCTCGAAAACAGCACGTAGACGCAGCTCAGAAGAGCTCGCGGTCTGTAGTTCTTCAAGAGAGCGTTGTCACCTCACTTGAAGAACAAGACCACCGCACTTCTGCTCCACGCCTCCGGTGTAATGCCACCACGGAGGACGGAATTAAAGAGCTTCTGAAGGACTTCAAGTACCGGTCTTCCACCCGCTTTCAGAAGCTCCGCTGTAATTCCACCCTCGCCTGGGGCTTTGCCGTTTTAAAGGTGCTGGAGAGCCATTCTAATCACGCTCAGACTGACGTCCGGGATCTCTTCGGAATAGTGTCGGATAAGACTCGCTCTTGGATCGTTACTCACACTTGCATGTGGCTCCAACGATGACGTGTAAAGCTGCCCATAGAACCTCTCAATCTCACTCAAAATCTCAGGTGCCCCGGGAACGATGCTACCACACTCGTTCTTCAGCTTCGACAGTTCGCTCTTTCTGGCAGACAGATCTCTGGCAAAGACTTAGGAGCCTTGGTTCCGCTCGATCGCTTCTTCAATACGAGCTGTATCGAAGTTGCGTAAGTCCCGCCGCATGCATTTCGAGATCTGTCTGTATAGTTGCCTGTATACTGTCAAATCTGTTGAAGAATGTAGCTTCATCTCCCGTCTAACAGCCATGAGATTGAGAGTGTGATCGGAGAGTTTTTGTGTTCTTCTGCGGTGGGTCTTGCAGAACTTAGCTCGCACCGCATGGACAGTTTCCACGAGCTTGTCATTCATATCGTCCACTTCATTGTAGTCTTCTAGGCACTGAATACGGTTTTGTATCTCGAGCTGAAAGGTTTCGGGACTTTGGAACAGAGCACGAGGGAGACGGAGCGTTCACTTCATCAGACGAGACGTCTCCAACTTAACGTTTAGGTTCAGTGTCCCTCTAACCATTCGGTGATCGCTACCAGTTTTCACTCTCGCGATCACGGAGACATCACTGAACAGTTGTCGTCTGGTCGTCATAATGCAGTCAATCTCATTTTTTGTGGAATCGTCGGGGCTCGACCAGGTCCACTTCCTGTGGGGCCACTTCTGGAAGAAAGAGTTCATCATAAAGAGTCCCTCTTTCTCCATGAAGTCGGCCAGGCGCTGGCCCCTAGGGTTCCGTTGCCCTATTCCGAATTTCCCTACTTTCATCTCACCGTTCTCTCTTTTGCCTAGTTTTGCATTAAAGTCTCCCATTAACACCGTATATTGGGTTTTGGAGGATACATGGCTCTAGAGATATCCTCATACATTTCCTCCATCTCTTCATCGGGGTGTGCCGAGGTTGGTGCGTAAGCCTGTATGACCTTCAGCGAATACCGTTTGGTGACTCTGAGTATAAGGTTCGCAACCCTCGTCGACACACTCTCAATCTTTACAATGTTGTTAACGAGAAACTTGTGAACGATAAATCCGACACCTCCTTGGGACAGATGGTCGCCCTCCCCGTGATAGAGCAAGTTGCCGGATTCGAGGATTACCGTGTCCTCCCCCTCTCTTCGGACTTCGGATAATCCTATAATATGCCAGCGTAACTTGTCTATCTCTTCTTCCAGTTCCACAATCTTCTCGTCAGTCCTCAGGGTGCGTGCGTTGTATGTTGCCAGGTCGAGTCGTATGAGGTGGCAACCGAACCGGAGATTCTTAGCACCCCCTGCCCCGCCGTTACCATGGTCGCCACCGTAGCCAGGAATAGCGGGGCCGCCGGGGACTGGGGGCCGTTTCTTTGTTACTGTCATTCATAGGGAGGTATTTGCCATAGTTGCCACGCTTGGCGAGCGGTTTGGTAACCGCAGTTTTTTTTATCAGGAAGACGCTGCTGCCCATCTCCTGCCTGTTTCCCTTTGTGCCTTTTACGACACCCACGGGAAGATATGGGGTAGTGGATATTCTTAACCGCCACTACCGATGCCTAAGCGTGTCGGAATCTGCTGATAAGTCACTCTTTTTTCAGTCTATCATATGCCGCACAACACTATTATCTTCATTTGTCGCCGTAGAAGGCCGTCCCTCACGCAGATCATCGCAGTCGTAAACAGTGGCACGAGATGGGGCTTTAAAAGGCCAATCGAAGTCTATCATAACTTTCTTGTTGACTTAAATGACATCGAAAGTCAAAATATCATTGTACGAAAATTTTCTCGCGTTGAATTCATGCTGACGTGACACAGACAATTTTCAATTTGCCGTCAAATCTTAAACAAATCACAAATTAATAAAATACATTCACAATAATATTGGCAAAGAGTTCCATTATCAAAATTTGAACTTATTTTTTTATTGTATCGTTTACAAGTGGCCAGTTCTAATAACTTTCAGTGTCGCCTTCGTATAATATATAAATATATATATAAATAATAATAATAAAATAACGTAAAATACCTTACTCGTAGTTTAAATCTTTTTTTTTTTTAAATATTAAATTGATGATAAATTATTAGTAGCGTGCATAGTTAATTATTGTACTAATGTTTTCATTTAAAACAACGTCTTGAAACATTTGTACCGGTTGTTTACAAATAGATCATTGTGTGTATTGTACGGTGGTTTTTTTTGTTTACCGGTGCCATTTGTCAACAGATGAGCGGCACGAGTTTATGAGGTCAGCGCGGGCGGAGGCGAGAGCCAGTCGCCGGGAGACGCGGAGATGACGCGCGCGCGGTATATTGCCTGTGCGCTGCTCATGCTATGCCCGCTCGCTATCGGGCGCAATGACGACGACTTCGATTTCGACAACAACGAGGAGTTTCAGGTAGGTTGACTGACCACGATGAGTGTGGTCATTGAGTGTATGCGCTTACAGAAGAAAAAAAAGTTTATTTTATCGTGTAATGTATAGTAGATGCTTAGTGCTGTGAGTTACTTGTCTGAGGGCAACGACACGTGTTGGTTACAAGGAAATTTTCGTTATTCAAAACGAAACTTTAATTTTTGTGATTGAAAATTGTAATAGTTTTTTTTAATGATTTTCCATTATTATAATGATGATCAAAAATCCACCTCTGATTCATATGTCTTCCCCATAGATTGCCATATAGTGTAGATATTTACTATAATGGCCACACTTCGAAGGCGGGTTGGCAACCGCAGTTTTTTTTTGGTTCTTATAAGGAAGACGCCGCTGCCCATCTCCTAGTTTGTATCTCTGTCGCTTCTTACGGAACGATATTAGAGATTGCACAGCCTTATACCGCCATTACACGGTAGTATTACGATATATCAATTGTTATTTTAACTACATATTATCATTTGCCATCAAAACTACACAGCTCCAATACTACACGTATGTTTGCATAATAACTTTTGCAAGCATAATTACGTAATAAAATAAATATATATCTGTTATTATTTATGTCTCAAATAACACATTATCTGGATTTATTTTTTTCATTTGTTTAGGACAGATATTCCAATTTTTTATTATTATTTGATTCATATTTTAGTAAAACAAGACGGAGATAATATAATTACTGTAATTATATATTATTCAAGATGTGTCTCCACAAACTATTTCAAGTTATTTGAAGTAAAATTTGTCACACACTCGCTACAAAGGTAAATTCTCCACCTCTACGTTCTCTTATGTAAACATTTACAAAACTTCAGATAATACAATCTCGGGCCAGACTCCAGCGAGATGTTGGTCGCTCGTTCGCTCGTAACCCGCGCTGTAAAATTCAACGGTATAGGCGTTAATAAATGTACATTTATAAACATTGAGCGTCAAGAACTCTCACGATTTACTGAGATTTTTCTAAAAAGACTTTTACATTGCGACTTTTGTGGAAAGAAATTAGATTCTTAAAATAACACACTTGATAAAACTTCAGTTCTTTTTTTTTATAAATTTTTCTTAATAAACTTAGCCCCTATAATAATTTACATTAGGATGTTTTCCTGTATCGTGGAATTTTTTTACATACTTACATAAATAACTTAACGCCGCGACGCAGCACAATTATCGGAACAAAAATCAAACCCGCGCCCCACAGTATCGCAAACGCCTAGCCATTGTAAAAAACCATGGTAAAACAGTGACAGATTGATAGCACATCAATCTGTCACTGTTTTACCATGGTTTTTTACTATAATCTTCTTCTTTAGCCCGTAAATTCCTCCGCTGGACTGGAGCTCTTCCGTTGTAGGTAGGATTAGTCTTAATCCGCCACACTTGGCAGGCGTGTGAATTAGTAGTAGGCCTTGCAAATATTCGAAAATTTATGGTATTCGAATATTCGACTTTTTTCGGGTATCCCATTTGTTAATTCGAATATTATTCGAATAATTCGAATAATATTCGAATTAACATATGGGATTAATTAAATAACTTTTAATACTTATTGGAAAATATTAGGTATGGTAGAACTGATTTTATCAAAGTCAAAGTATAGTAGATGGTTAATATAATTATACTTTAAGAATCGTCCTATCTGTTAATCTAAAAGGCTGGCGCGAAGGAAGCAATGAAATGCGAAGAAATGGGACGATAAAATAATGTAAAGTGATTTAGATCGGCACGAAGATGGTTATGGTATTTGCCTTTTTTACTTACTATTTTTACTTCTACTATTAGTACATGCGTGTTCAAAAGGTGCAATATGGCACATTCATACTGTGTAAAACTTCAATCATATTACATAAATTTTAATTTTGTTTCGTAGGTTGAGCTGACAGCAAATCATTCTGAAATTGCTAAAAATGGCCTAAGAAGATTATGGGGTGTACCTGACACTTCGGCCTACGTGGGACATCTTTTTCGTATGGAAATACCTAAAGAAGCATTCTCTGGCGACGTTGTTGCATATAAGGTAAATTTTCTTATATATTTATTGATATCACGTAGAAGTAATAAATAGCCGTAATATTTCTACGAAAATCTTTGATAAGTGAGAAAAATATTTTATTTGTTAAAATATATTTTCTCAGCGCGTGATTTTTCCTTTTTCTAAAACTCCATTAGGTTTGAACATAATATAATACATATGTGATTTACTCGACAACTCCGAAAGGCAAAAAAATCTATATGAGAGGTAATAAGTATATAACTCAAAAGTTCGGTATAGTAGGCACTTTGGAATTTTTTATATCGTATAGTTTGTTTTTATTCAAATAAGTATTGTAACTGCACGACGACGGTTCCGTAAGTTTCGATAGGAATTACCCAGAATATTTTGTGGCATCAACAAGACATTGACTATAATATGCCCGATGGATTGCATCTTTAACCTATGACATTGCTGATTCGTATATATATATTGAAATATTTTTTTTACGAAAAATAAACTAATTAGTCAAAATATTTTCCAAAACTACAGTCTGTTGATGCCCTACTATTGGCATAGCAATTCTGCTGCAAGAGAATCAATGAACTTTTTAAAGACGTTCTCAACTGCCTTTTCCAAATTGAAATTTTTCTCCATCAAATAGTTCTTAAAAAACTAAAAAATCTTAATTTAGAAAAAAGTGGAAGTATCTTGAAGCAAGGTCTGGAGAATATAAATATATGGTGAATGAAGGTTTAGCTTTTTTGTGCCGTATATGGCCGGGCGTTGTCATGATGAAGTAACACGATGAACAGTGCACCAATCTCGGTTATTTGATTGCCAGCTTTTCCACCATCTTTTGCTATTGCATCGTTTATAAAACAATAACGGTCAGCAGTAACTGTAGCACTAGATGGCAAGAAGCTATACTGAATAGCACCAACAGTAGACACTACCAAACTATCATAATAAGCTTCTTCTGGCTAATCTTTTACTTCGGGCGCTGTTTGGGCCATCTGGGCAACTGGACCTAACCACTGTGATGAACGCTTATGATCGCCGTTTAAGAGCCACTTCTCTGCTTTCGATACCTCCTCCTTTATTTCACCGATTTGCAGATAATGATCTAATCTAAATGATCTAATCTAAAAAAAGTAACACAAGTTTTCTTAGGCTATACATATTATAGCGATATTGCAGAAAAAACAAAACCCAAAGAAACAAATGAATAACAGATTTTGAGAAAGGAATAACATGCCTTGAATATACATTTTATTTAAATTTAAAATTCCATAGCTTTTACAGTACAAAAGGGTTAGTTCAACAACACGAGTACGGTAATTTTTTAAGTAATGACTTAATAAATTATTGGTTTTTTTTAAAATAATTATTTGCATGTTTCATCATCGTCATTACCACCACCATTGTTGCAACAGGTGTACAGCAAAGAAGCACGGCAAACGCCCGGCTGGCTGGCCGTGGACTCGAGGCACGGGCTGATCAGCGGGCTGCCGCAACATGAACACCTCGGCACGCACAACTTCGCAGTCGTGGCGCACGGGCACACGCGCGGTCTCACCGTAACCGACTATTTCACTATAGAGGTAAAATTATAATCGACCATTTTGATCCATATTTTTGTAATGTTAAGCTAATTCGCCATTAGGATTTTTTATAAAAGGATTTTTATAAACAAAAGCATATTTATTTTTTTATTTTAATTCGGCCCTTAATCAGCTATTACGGACTGATAAAGAACAATATGGAGATAAATATAAGATGTTTGTATTCTTCTATGGTAAGCTAAAGTGCTACTTATTCTTGTCCGATTTCCGTCTCATCGAACTATGAGAGTGATGGAATAGAGAGTGCACTTGTGCTTACGCAAACAACGATGCACTGTAATGTTGTCCTACTAATCTTCGTTTTGTCTGGCGACCGTGACCGAATATCGATCTGGAGCAGTCTTATGGTGTTGCTTATTATCGATAGAAATACATAGGTGAAAGAGTACCTGTCCTAACTAACTCTAAGGCAGAAAAGATAGATAACGCCTACCAAATATTAATGATTAATGTTACATATTTTGATGAATCGTTTATCATTACTATATAACGTTTCTCATTAGCGAAAGACGCTATTCAACTATTCAAGTGATACCTATGTACTTCATCCATCGTTACTAGGGCAGGAATTATAATAGAACAAAAATATTACGCTACAAAACGCTTTTATGAAGCAATCATACTAATGAGGTTTTCAAGACAATAAAGTAAACTTGAATATTTCATTTCATTTAGTATTTATAATCATCATCACAGTTCCTCACAATTATTATATTAGGTCTTAACTAACCTATGAAATTGTGTTTTATATGGGAAAATTGCATTTTCAATCAATCAAAACATTATTTTTACAAAAAAAACCTTTAATAATAAAAAATAAATTTGATGCCTTTACTTTAGAAAGTCAGCTGCACGAGAATTGATGATCTCTTTGAACACATTCTTTACTGCTTTTTCGCCTAGCAAAAAAAAATATATAATTTGAAAAATGTTGAAGTCTGTTTGAGCAAGGTCTGGAAATTATGATTGATGAGTAAAGGGTTCTAACTTGGGTGTCCTAAAAGTCTGTTGTACAGTATGTGGCCGGACGTAGTCAAAGAGAAGAGCAGTTCACTAAATGCAATTTTCGACAATTACGGTCACAACAGTAGACCACCAAATTGTCATCATAAACTTCTACTAATCTATCGTTTTGGGTACTATTTAGTTTGGGCATCTGGATCTAACCACTGTGATGAACACTTGCGATTGTCATATATTTTTTGTATCTATTTCCGAACGCAGGTAACATTCAACTCAAAATCGACTTACAAGTTTTTCCCTTTGTCAAAGTTTGGACGGGGGCCTCTCCCAGTTCGTGATGTTGCCGTGTTTTGATTTTTACATATTCGCACATCGAAAGCCGACGCTAGCTTAGCCGTAGTTTTAACTGAGTCCACTTCCATTATCCCCCTCAGTTCATCATTTTCAACCGTCTTATCCAACGGCAACGAGGTTCATTTGAGAGGTCAAAATTTGCTGAAAGAACGATTAAACGAATAACGCAAAGTTCGTTCGTTAGAAGTGCTAGGCCTCTATACGTCTTTGATATTGCCGTTTGAGACTCATTGTTTCCAGGTTGGAACAAATTTATAAAAACAACACCCACTTTCCTTAGAGTCCATTATTTTAAAAATGGCGATATTGCAGAAAAAACAGAACACACATTAAATATAAAATTTATTTGAATTTAGTATTCCTAGTCAAACCATAGCTAAATTACAGTTCTAAGTAGACAGTTCAACAAAACGGCAGTTTAATATCTATCATATAATAATGAATGTTTCTTAGTTTATCTTCTATGCGTGCTTATACCATTCACCATTATTCGATAACGAATTACGATGAAACTTTGATGAGTTCTACGCGCGCCAACGACGGTTTCTGGCAAAAAGAGACATTGACAAATGCCGGACACAGCGCACAGCTAGTAATCAATAAATAGTATCCATGTTTCATATTCAATTACAATCTATAAAAGTCTTAATTGTAAGATTGCCTCATAGGGACGATTTTGGCATAGCTGCCACGCTTGGCAGGCGGGTTGGCAACCCCATTTTTTTGTTATTTTGAGTTGCTATCAGGAAGATGCTGAAGATGGCAATCTTCTGTTTTAGTTTCCTTCTGTTGCTTCTTACGACACGCACTGTTTTGTATACTTGTAAATTATTATTTGCGACATGCACAACCAGCAAATAAGACATTAATAATCATTGAATAGCAAAAACATAAAATGTGCTTTTCAATAATCATTATTAAAATTGTAACATTTTTGGATACAAAACAATAATAAATAAAAAATGATAGATAAATATATTTATTTTTAGTAAGGTCAATTCGAATTCGATAATAATTGTTGAGGATTTATATATTCTTTATTCAATACTTGCTCAGTACAAATTTCACAGCACGCGAGCAACTCGGATTAGATCCCCGCCGGCACCAGTGAAATTGTTAATTGCGTTTTAAGTGCTGATTTACCACGTGCTCGGCGGTGAAGGAATACATCGTGAGGAAACCTGCATGTCTGAGAAATAAGAAAAAAAATATTTCGAAGTCATGTGAACTCGGCCAACACGAATTGGGGTAGCGCGGCGGACATTTCCTTGACCTTAAACCCTCTCAGAAATTAGAGCAGGACGTATATAGGTTGTAACTTAAAAACGATACATGCTGTGCCCGGCTTGCGTTACAGTGCCTCTTATGTCATAGACCTTCATGAGCATAACGATTCTTAAAGTTTTATAATCGTTGGTGCGTGTATACTATGCGTATTAAAGTCATATTCACACAATATACTGGTTTTGACGAGATGATGGTTCATATCATAATTGCTACTATCAAATAGGAGGCGCTGTAGTCAAGTTATTAATAAAATCTGTATTTATGGACAAAAATGACTCGTATTCACTACATATTACGTTAGTTTAGTACGAAAAAAGAAAATGAATAAATCTAGACCCGATAAGATATTATTACACTGTTTATGGGAAGTTCCAGAAAAAATCTCATGGCTACTTAGAGAATATAGCGGTACGACCATATCTTATTCGTCAAATCTAAAATACCCAAACCGACTACGAGGAGCTGCGTCAAAGGATCCTCAATGCGCCTGCCCAGCGAGAAAGCCGATCAAGGCAATTCTTCCATAACGGAAAGGGAACATTAAAATTATGATTCAAGTCGATATCAATATTACAATAGGTACTCGAGTCATACTAAAAATATTTACGGCTAGGATTTAATGTTTACAAATTTGGGTAGATGCGGTGATTTGATTAATGTCACCGTCAATAATCCTGTTAGTAGAAATTGGCGTAATTTAGATCTAGTAGCACCGATTATGCAATATTTTTTCGACAATGGCACAACACTTTTGCTGTTATCATTATATAACTGTGTCAAATCTTAACTTGCAGGTGAAGAACGCAGAAGAAAAGCCGCAATCTAAGTATGGATCGTGCAAGCACGATGAGAATAGACTGGTGTTAGTTATTCTGGTAGACGGCGCTTTCCAGCAAATACAGCCGCGACAGCGGATACGCGCCTTGATGGAGCTCGCCTCTTTCATGGCACTGGATTGGGTTAGTACTGCGTTTGTACTTTTTTAAAATTAATGTGTATATATATATATGAAATAAAATACTTTCGAGTTCAAGTAATAAAATATATTCAATTTATACATTTCGGTAAAGCTATGCAATTTAAAGTATTTTTAAGCATTTACAGTGGAAATGGATGCTTACATATTATAAGACTGCTAGCAAACAATTAGTTGCAATCACCTAGCTTTCTAAAACACAATTGTTTGTAATTTTTTAATTTGAATATTATTCCACTTTGCCCAAATTTCGAGTTTACCTCTTATAGTATTAGCATTACTTACGTTGCATACAGCATACAGACGCTAATACGTTCTAATCTCATCAAGTAATGTTAGCTCGAGTTGAACCTGACTATTCAAACGATGATATAAGATTATCTCCTTAATAATAGCGTAGTGATTAAGCACTGGGCATCACAGGTTCGATTTCCGCACGAAACAAGTGTATGTTTATCAATGTAAAACATCCCCAAGATACAGAACAAAATACTAGTTTGAGGGCAACGTGTTTAAAAAAAGTAACATGCCAAACGTGGCGGAAAGGAAAATAATTTTATTGTAAAGAAATAATTTAACATTTTTTTATACGCAATTTTATTGAAAGGTATTTATTTAGAGCTATTTATCATGTCTTTCAAGTTTTAGGTTTTTTTTTTTAATTTTAGTTGCACAGTTAAAAAAGTAAAAATGAAATAAAAATAAATATCCCAATAACATGATATGTAGACGTATTCCATTAGATTATTTAATTTATGGCGCGCCGAAATTTTTCAACGTTTATTTCTTCTATTACAAATTTCCACTGAAAAGTAATATAAAGAGATACGATCGCTGCGCTGTAATAAAGCTTTACTGCGGACTAGTTAACGAACTTCGACTCAGTTCTGAGTAAAAGTTAATATAATAAGGACTGTGTTTGTAGAACGGAATACATCAACTAATTTGTTTAAATATCAATCTCGTTTGCACGTGGTACACCCTGCTGATTAACGAACGAAGCTTGGCGATTGATATTTTGAAGTATAGTTTCACTTCTTTAGGCACGACTTGAGGCTAACTCAGATCTTTTACGGACGAAAGTAACGTTTAGTAAGATCTATAGTCCGTTTAAGCAATTATCACATTTATAAAGGCGGAAACTGCGTACCGTACAGACTAGATAGTGTGAATAAATCGGAGCAAAAATTATTTACTGATATCAGTATGTCAACCACCTCGGTGAGTCTCTCACACAACCATGGGTGTGCGATCGAAATGCCCATCAAATTCATAAAATTTGTTTTATTCTATTATTGACAAATTTAATTTAATAAGTAGAGACAGAACTAAACTAACTCTGAAATAATAAATATCATATTTATTTATTTTTTTAAAACGTTACCTCCACACTAGGATTTTCTCCTGTATCGTGGGGGCAGCTCACATACATAAATTTCACAAGGACAAACATCCAGACCCGAAACAATTATTTGTAGGCCATACAAATAGTTGTTCCGTGCGGGATTCGAACCCGCGGCCCTTGGTGCTGCAATTTACAGCTAAGCCACTGCGCCACGGAGCCGCCAAATAATGATCAGTTATTAGAATAAAAATAAGAAATATATAAATACTAATGTTTATTGATACTACAAATTTGTACATTAACCAAGTGTTATGTATGGTTATATGCACTTATTTTTGAGGTTCCGTACCACAATAGGAAAAAAACCCTTTTTAGACCTCTTCGTGGTCCGTCCTTCTGTCAGCACTGTCTAGATCTTTTTTTCAGGCACAGGCGAAGATATCAAGCTTCGTTTTGTCTCATCCTCCCTCCACCTCTACCCACACGAAAAACACAGAACACAATTGATAAGAAAAAAAGACAAAATATTTTTTAATATCACTAGACATTTCATTTACCATACCTTATAATATCATTGGGAGGTGAAATAAATGTCAAATAATTTCATGCATTTTTGATAAAATAAATTGATATTTAATGTAGCATAATTTATGAAATCATTTGGAGTAGAAATAGATGTCAAATAGTTTCATGAATTTTTGACAAAATTTATTAATATTTCATTTAGCACAATTTATAATATCATTTATAGTTGAAAAGATGTCAAATAATTTCAAGCATTTTTGATAATATAAGTGCCATGCCTTATTTTTAAGACCCCTAAATAGCAAAATAAGATTTATAAATGCACAATCTCGCAACGGTTTCAAAATCAACATGGCTTATTGTTTTCTTTACATACCGAATTCCCAAGATGGATGAACTATCGACATACATAATTAAGTTTATAGTGAACCCCCAGGGCCCGAGTCCTACTCGTACCCGCAAATATTAGATTTATAATCTAACAAACGAGCTATCCGTATACCCGATTATAAGTAACTACATCTTGTAATAACCGCAGAAGGCTCATACTACAGGCTTAACAGCTTGCCTACCCAATGTGTGAAATCGGGAGTATGGACAATTCCGTCAAATTATTCATGCTACACGGGGTATTCTTAAAAATAACTAAGTATATCTAGCTGTGTATTGAAAAAACTGTTAGAAACAAAACTTTATTTCGACAACTTTTCTTAATCTACTATACCTATTATACCTTTCTAAGAAGAAAATTACCTACATAATTACTACATTATTTTTATAACTTTTCTTTTTTAGTACCTATCGCATAAAACTTTGTCAGAAGATTTTATTGTACCTACGTTTTATTTTTTTTAAACTTCTGCAGAAAATAGACGGTGATTTCCCTGGAGCTTTATACTTTGCAAGCGGATTTTAAGCTTGAATATATAAATGAATATTTAGTTCCTTATTATTAAAAATTAATATATGAATAGAGATTCGGATGAAGTTTGTGTTAGTTTTTTTGGGTTGTACAAGTTTGCAAAGTAATATTTTGTGCGATTTGATAACTTCTCCAAACTTATTCTTCAGTTGTCGCCATAGTTGAAATAAACCAAAAAAAAGTCACTCGTTATATAAAAACACAGCTGTCGAGATAATACGGTGTGTTGTAGACTAATTTAATTAAGCATTTCGAGTATGTTTAAGTTATTGGTATATTTTTTTACGAGATTATTTTCTAAATTATTTTTAAACATCTATTACAATATATTACTGATAAGAAGTGGTGAAATTAAAAATGGACAACCGCAACCGACTTCAATATAAATTAAATCAATAAATAAATATAATCAAAAAGTTATGCCCCAATTCATTTGTAAAATTAGAGGTAGCCCAATAGAGGGTACAGGCGTGATGTTATATTATGTGATTGAGTGAACAATGCAGTTGCAGCGTTAGCAGCAAACGCAGTTAATTTGCTGGCATTTCTTGAAGAGATCCGTTGTCCAAAACTCAAAAAATCTTTACCTTTACCATTTCGCAATAAACTTTTTTCGAACAATAGAATAATTTTGCAAATCCGCCTTTATATGACGGAATTATGCCTGAACATACTTAAAAAAATTGACCTCGGTTAGTAAGTAAATACTTTCAAAAACTTTATATATATATATATATATATATATATATATATATATATATATATATATTTAATTATTACATAACTTACGTCTCAAATGCAAGCCAGACAGTACAATACCTGGATTATAGCCCTAAAATATCGGATTTCTCACTCAACTCGGAATCTTGGATTAAAGCCTTATTCAAGCTAACACCAAAGGGTCTCGTTTCGCTTGTTACAATTTACCTAAGTACTTCCTACTGTTACAATCAATAGTTAATTTAAAGTCTATACGGACCAATGAAAATTTTTATAGATAAGAACACTAATTTTTTTTCTTTATGATTGTTATTGATCGTAATGATTTCTTATATTTACGCGAACACTACACATTGAATAAAACTCCTTTTACGGATTTTATCGCGTTTAATTAACTTATTTTATATTCTCGACGTTTCGGTTGCTTTCCAGCAACCGTGGTCACGGGGGACTGAGGTAATTGACTTCCCGATGTCAGAGTTAACCCGGAGTACCTTCACCTTTTTTAATTATTAATTTTGGTCCGATCTACGCAGAATGAACTAACTGTATCTTGAAATCTTGCAGTGTTATGCTTGGGTTTAGTTTTATTTTTATGAATTACAGGATCCCAAGCAGGTGGTAGTACCCAGCCTACCTCTCTATTGAAATTAGGATGTTTTTTAATTTCAATAGCCTCACGTATCATCCTTGGCAGGAATCGATGTTCTTTCGCGAGAATTTGTGGCTTATCATATCTAATGTAATGGCGGGGGGCGTCTAGGATATGATCACAAACTGCAGACTTCCCAGAACGATATACACGATAAGGCCCCAAATTCTATAACTGACGGTTGGACGACGAAAATAAAACGACAGCGGTGCATGAATGAATGCTTTTGTTGCCTAATGTTTTGTCGCTTAATACAAAATTTGAAAATATATTGAATTCGATGCGAATTCAATAGTCTAATATAAATATCGAACATCGATGATGACCTTGATCAAAAATATTGACGATTATATCGATAGTTTATGAAAAAAAAATCGATATATCGGTATTTTTTACCCAAGCCTAATTGCCCATGTAATCTGTAGCTCATTGTCACTGACACCAGTGTCGATAATCGGTAATTACAGGCTATGAACTATTCCATGTTAGTATGTCTCAATGAAAACAATGCACCTCTAGCCATTTTATCTTTAATTACCTGCAGGCTATTGTATTACTACTTAAATACCAGTTGGACTTTGCACTCTTAGTATTTTTATTAGTAATTTATGGTGTCAGTGATATGAAACGTAATACAATAATATATCCAATACTTCAGTTTGTGCTTTTGCACAGTTGGGACTCCGACTGTTATTAAAATCAAATTCATGCTTTTCAGAAATAACATACTTTTTTTTCTAAGTCCAAACAACAACAGTGTTGGATAGTTAGTATGCAAAATTTTCTATTTAATTTTCCCCTTGGTTTTTAAGTGAGCCAGGTTCGATATTTTATTGGTATTTTTATATTTTTATTTCAGGATGAATTTTGGATGGCGCCGTACAAGGCAGAGTCGACGCGCTCACATATAGTACTAATGAGCGGTGCCGGTACCACACAGCATAGACGCAACGATGCCACCACTGCCATCTACCTGAACGTGAGTTGAGATAATTTGCTTGTACCTTTCGAGCTCGCTGGAATAATTCAATCGTTACAATATTTCTTTGATTTATTTTCCCAATTTTATACATTTTTTGGAATTTATTAGAGTTTAATCCTTAAGAATCGTTTCATATAATATAGCGCACGGTACGAAAAATAGATGGGTAGTAAAATCAAGCGTTAACAAAAATATGACACTCACGCATCTCATAGTGCGAAACAAACAAGGTAATATAAGTCATATATTTTTTATGTAATATATTTTATTAAATCAATATAAATAAATATATGGGTTCATTTACTTCCTTTGTCTATCTAATGTATAAAGATAGTTTGAAAATCCTTTTTGCAGGTTTTCGTCGAGAGAAAATTCAGCACACGTGTCTGTTTCTTGACTGATAGCGTCGTCTTTGGAAGTTCAAGACTGTCCATACCCGTGCTTACTGTTCATATCCGCTAACGCGTGCTCTATAGCTTCTTTATCGTATACTCTAAGCCAGATATTTATAGTTTCAAAAGCAATGCTTGCGGTAGCGCGTGTGACACATGTGCGTTATAATATTACCAGTTGTAATGTACGTCTGACACACATTACAACTGGCTACGGGTATACTCTGCTTTTAAAGGGAAATCGCCTCTGACAGATACACATGGCAGAAATTCTATACGTGTCCCGTTCAATTACGTACCATTTAGAGGGAGTGGATGCATGTGTGCAGGTGGGTTGCGGGGACAAGCTGTGGGCTCGGCACAAGGTGCTGGTGTCGGGGCTGCGCGAGCAGGCGCGCGACGGCTCGCTCGCGCACCTGCTGCGCCTGCCCGTGCTCGCCTGGCGCCTCGTGGCCGCGCGCCCCGCGCGCCCCGCCCGCCCCGTGCCCAGGCACAAGAGACAAGTGAGTCACACCAGCTTCATTATTGTACCAAGCTTCTATCGCATCTTATTGCACAATACACTAATCAACTGCGCAACTTTAGATTCTTAGAAAAAGTTTCAATAAGGTTTTTGGCCCTATTACTAATAAGTAACTACGTTATAGTCGCTACGTAGTAATATTAGTATAACAGTTTCTTGCTTTTGTATAAATGGCATAACCGTCAACAGTAGGTTCAAATAAGTTTTTTCGTCCATACGCAGATAGTTTTGTCAACCTTTGGCTTAAATTTCAATTAATTTAAAATGTGCGAATAATACTCTCTTTTAATTAACCAGTCATTACACCGTATAGTTCCGTTTTTCCTAAGGCTTTTAAGTAGCGAATATTAAACCATTACAATGCTATCGTAACACAACATGCCTGGTCACTTTCACAGAAATTATATTGTTCAAGCAGGCTTGAGCCGTCTATGGTCAAAACTCAAGTATACTTGTGCAATTCTAAATGTGAGCAAATATATTGTAACGTGTGTGGTGGTAGCCAAGTAAGTAGTGGAGAAAAGCAAGATGCACAGGTTAACAATATGCACAAGATAATAATTTATGACTGCCTAATTGACATTTCGTCTAGTTTAAACTATCTTCTGGTGGGTTATGTATGATATGATGTGTAGGATATTAAACTAAAATTCATTTATTATATTTTCTTATCGTTTCCAACTTTACATTTTCCTTTGGTTATTTTTACGTATTTTTCTTCAAATATAGCCAGTCCCAACGAAGACTAGCTAATTAAAATAATAGTCTCCTAAAGGCAGTGTGACTTGACGTCATCATGGTGATAAGTAAAATGATATTAGAAAGTCGCGCAAAAGGCGGTTTGTAATTAGTATGTTTGCCAATGTTTGCAAATCCATACTTTTTTTATATTATATGTGCAATTACGTAAAGTGATTTCCACCGGTTATGGCAGTCGTCGCTGGACTCGGGCTCGGGGGCGTACGACACTTACGACGGCGAGGATGACGTGGCCGACTACAGCGGCGACTATGACGACGAAGATGATAACGAAGATGACTTCAATATCGACTCATTGCCAGACTCAGTGAGTTGCCATCACTACTTTTGTGAAATTGAGCGTATTGTGTTTCTTCGTTTTTGTTTTTATGTAAACAACAAATAACAGAAAATGTTCAAATTAATAATTCTTAAACTTATATTAACTCATTTAAAACAGCATTCGTAATTCGTCATGATTGCGATGCGCCTTAAATCATGAATTACAACAAAATCTGTGGTGTTAAAATTGCAAATCACTAATTTACATCCATCAATTACGGTATTTACATACTAATGTTTTCATATTACACTAAAATAAACTGCAACATGTACGCATATACAAATCTAGCTACGTTTATCACTTTAAAAGTTGGAAACTTGTTTTAATTTGTGATATTACTGAACATAGACTTCTTTAATAAATATAAATAGAAATAAAAAAATATTTATGAATACAATGAAAATATACCATATTTCTGCCGTTAAGATATAAGTTTCATAATCACTTCACTACACTATCTTTTTGGTTAAAGTATCTTGTTCATTTTATCATTTCATTTATTCATTGGAACCTCTCATACTTCAACTAACCATCAATCTTCATGCTTTTGTATGAACACTAGTTACAACATGCAGTATAAACATAGGGTTTGTTTTTATTACTGTTAGAGAATTGCCTATTTTCTTCATATCAAATTTCCAGATATGCAGAAATTATGTTTATTTTTAATTCATAATACCCTCTTAAAGATTAATGCTCTAGATTTGACCAACAAAATTCATTAGAATAATAATTGTTTCCAATGAATAATGATTATTAGAAGTTATGTCGTGGAATGCATTTCCTGCACTCAACTGTATCGTCATGTAGACCAGCATCCATAATCGGGACCACAGCATGGAATGTTGAATGATTCATTTTCAGTCACTACTTAATTTAGTGTGCGGGTTTTTGGTCGTTTTGTGGGTTTTCAACGTCTAGTGCCAATTTCCAATGTGATAATAAATTCTTATTTCCCATACATTATTCATACAAACATGTCAGCCAACTGAATTTACCTTTGCAATCTTTGTTTTATCCATTCCATTTAAATCTTTACATCTCATTTTTAAATAGTAATCTAATGTGGAATTTTATTTGATTTCTAATTCTAAATAACTCTTTAAAACTATTAAATGTAGGCTTTGTGTGTGGTTATTTAACGAAATTGCTTAATTGGGTGGTCGCTTTACTCGCACCATTGTATATATAATAAACTAACAGATGCACTCCTGATGTGCGTGATGTGGATATTGGGTTCATTTTGTATACGTGGATTTTGATAAACGGACGTGCCTTTTAACTTTAAGAGTATCTTTAAGCTCTATACAGACAAATAAACTACAAAAAAGACATTTTTTACATAGAAATATTTCCCGCCCTTTTTATTAACTTTCGTCATAATATACATAGAGGCAAAGGCACATCCATTATTCGGTCCGCGCGGCAATAACCACAGACATAGCGCGAGGTACGTTCAAGTGGGCGGCAGTACTAACGTAGTGTGTCACGGCGCGTGCCCGCAGGCGCCCCCCACCCCCCCGCGCCCCCACCGCCACCACCACGGCGACGCCATGCGCGCGCCACACACCACCACCGACAACTTTCAGACCGAGCCCGTCACCGAAAACACGCCGGAAACCCCCTCCCTGCAACCTCCGATCCGTGTCCCTCCGCTTCCGCTACCCCAACTCACCTCCCATCCGACTCAAAGTCCCTCGACCCCCACCACCACTGAAGAATACACAACGCCCACCGAAGAAACTACACCCGAGCTCGTCTCTACCAATACGTACACAACGGAGGTTTGTCGTAACCCGATCTCGTGCTTTGTTTTGTTTGTTGCATGGTTGTTTTATCGTTTACTGTTCTTATTTCATCTTTTATTTATATATGTCTATGTCTAAATTCATATTATGTAATGAGAAATCTATATATATTCTATTAAACTTCGTTGTATTACATAATAATAAAAACTTAATAGTGTTATAATACAAGGTAAAGGTAAAGGTACCATAAAGAAATTAATCTGTTTTTAAAAAAAAAACTAAGCATTTTATATTAATTGCTGATAATTTTATTATTTATACTTTATCAATGATACGTTGTGTAGTAATAACTATGTGTAACCTTAATTTAATTTATGTAATAATTTTTGGCGTATATTTATGTTATTAGTAGATATTTAATATATAAAAGCATGAGAACTTAGTCATATTGTAAACCATGGTCTTGTACTTTTATCTAAATATTCATTATTGTATCCAAAAATTTGTTGGTGAGATTTAAATAACATCGAACTGTTGTTAGTAGGTAAAATTAAATGTGACTGTACATGTCGAATTATACTAGAGTTTGCTACTCGTAAAGCATGTGAAATAGAATTTTAATTTATTTTAATTTTCTACATAAGATTTATAACTCGCATATCCCAACAGGTAATGAATAAAGTGAAGATAACGCCGTACACTGAATCGATATCGGAAGCTAGCGATGTAAATCATGGCTTAGAGTCAGGCGTCGTCGAATCACGGAAACTCGGCCATTCCCCAGTCATCATTTCACCTGAAGACACCCCAACTACAACCGAAACTGAAATGGTATGTTTAATCCTAACAATTTTATCACCAACTCTTAACTCACGTTTGTAAATGTATTATCAACACTAATCTCTGTCTTGTGTGGAATTGGACTTACTTACGGGGTAGCGTTAGTTGGACTACCTAATGTCACTCATTGTAATTTTTGTAAATACATCTTCTAACTTCTGATGTCAACGTTAAGACAACTGATTTTTATACATTTGATAAATTTGTCTCTCTATAATATGAGAATTACTAAATGGAATAAAGTTACTTAACATAATTGTTAAGTAGAAGATTAATAATAAAAAATTATAACTATTTATTTACGAATATTTTAACGACGCGTCAGTAAACTTAATGACATAAAAGGTAATATAACGACGATAAAGATTGTAAATTAAATAATACTATTTTATTGATTGTGTTACAATTATAATATAAATATATTTTGTTATAGTTTTGTGATATTTGTATACCTAAGAGTTGTATGCAGCGAACATCATTACTTTTAAGATCTATTTTGTCTCATTACCTGAGTTCACAAATACAGGAAATACATAACTACATAAATATCATTCAAACCAGTTTCCGTTTTCATCTAATTCCTGATGTATTAAAGACCAGCAACACTTAGTTTCCATTAGATCCTGACAATAAATTCGCGGATATAGATACTAAACCAAAGCAACAAAATAAAAATATTATTTTTCTCATTTTATCTCATCAGAAGTTATTTCTTGAATTCGGTTAAATAATATTTAAACAGTTGTCTTAACATAACATCATTCACATCACGTTGTGTGAGCGTCCGCATGGCACTTTCAGCAAACTGTAATAATACGGGCCTCCAACGAAGTCCCTCCGATGTCGTCCGAAGCGCCAACCTCACCGTCACCGTCGCCGTCGTCCTTCGAAACTATTCAGACAGAGGCAACGACACCGACGACTTCTTCCACGACGGAGTCAACGACGACATCCACGACAACGACGAGCACAACGACGACGCCAGTGCCTACCACAATCGCAACGTCGCCGACAGCATCATCTACAGTCACTACACCAGTGACCACTCCTACTACTCTGCCTACAACTACCCCGATTCCCGAAACAACGCTGCAGGAGGTCACAAAACAGGTTAAGAGATTTTAACAGAAGATTGTAAATTTTCATATTTATCTCGCCATGAAACTATTTTGTAAGTATGTTTCGGAATACGAAATACGCACATTCACAGTATTGAGTGAGATTTGGCTTGGAAGGGTATAGTTTGATTAGACATCACCTCTTAGTTATTAATCTAACTTACCTTAAATAACATGTTAAACGCTGAAATTAAACATCTGCGACAAAATTATTAAAATTCATCAATAAAACTAACAAATGGGTAACTTAGCAGATTTTTTTCTTTTTAGGTAGAGTCAGGCTGCAGTTATATTATGGTTGAAGCACGAACGGGTCGGCTCGACCGGGGAAGGACCACGCTCTCACAGAATACCAGCGTAAAATAGCAACTTAATGCTGCTGTGTTTCGTATAATGAGTGTAGAGAACCGGAGACCCTTTTTACTGGAAATGAGGCATTCCGTCTTAGTCGTCAGGGTTGACAACGCATCTGCATTTTGATTCTTAATCGAGGATTAATGAAGATGTCTATGTGTAACATCATCCTTTTACCATCAGGCGGACTGTGTGCTCGTTTGACAACTTTATTCTATAAAAAAAAAGCTTAAGAAACACTGTTCCTAATTTGAGGCCTTAAAATACCTTAACTGTTCATTCCGTTAAATGGTTTCAGCAGTTTTGCAGAAGCCTGTTAAACATTATATTAACAACAATGTCAATCGATAAAAAATCTAAAAAGTAAATTATCTATATATTACAGTCAGAACTGTTTACCGGTCAAAATTACTTTTGAACGATGAAACCGTCCAAAGTTTTACCTAAGTCCGAAATGATCAACTAAGCTTTTGGGGTGGCCCATGGACAACCTCAGCCGCTCTTCAACCTAGTGGTGGGGTTAGGAAAAACTAATTTGACCTTAATTGGCAATAAAACGTCTGCATACCGTAGTGAGTATGGGTAATCTTTCAAGTTACATATATCACTTGGTGCATTCTTGAAAAGACTGAAGTCCTCCCAAGCAGAGGATAAAAAAATATTGATAAAGACGAATATTACACATAATATTTATTACTTTTAGTTAATGTGAATTAAAACAAATTATAGTTTATGAAAACGATATATTATTTGATATTTTCCGCTTATTGTACATAGCTGTAATTTAGTCTAATGGGTTTCTTGACAACGTATCTCTTTCTCTCATCTGTCCCTATTTGTCTGTCGCACTAATGTAACATATTCTTTATTTCTATTGACTTATTTAAATAATTTTGGCTTAATCTATCTTTATAATTTAATTAGTTAATTTAAATATAACTACAAAAAATACTAAATATTCAAAAGTCAACATAATAAAAACTGAACACTGAGACTTATTTATTGCTTGGGTTTAATTTTAGAATATTATCAGTGCTATTTATTTTTGTGTAAATAATATGTGTATGTTTTTATACATTTAATGATGTATTGCACGCCTCATAACGCGAAGCGTTATTAGGTAGTGCTTTACTGTTGTTGACACATTAAGGTCAAACAATTATGTATTCTTAAAATGCCTCTATCATAACCATATTGCACTTATACGATAATATGAATAGCCGTATATCAAGAAAACTAGTTAATCCATCTTATATTTTCTATAAAAATCATTTTATATTACTACTTTTAAAAAAACGGTATGAAAAAATTGTACGTGTACGTCCGGATGTTGATTTTGTATGTGATCACGTGATCACGACAACTCCCGAAAAAAATGACGTATCGAGACTGGTTTTTTTTTATTAGCTTCAGAATTACATGAACTGGTTCCCGATTTCATATCAATAGCCTAGTACGCGTAGTTTGTTAATAAAATTATTTTTTAACTTTTATTTTAATTCTATTAAAAATTAAAACGCGCTTTCATATTTTTTAGCCCTTGATAGATAAAGGACAAATGTACCATATGGTTTATGGTTAGCCTATACGGTTTTTATACTTTGTGTAATCGATTTATTTTGGTAAACATTATTATTTTTTTCCCTGTAGGTGATACTACCTGTTAAAATAATAAAGCGCTAAATTTAATACACGTTAATAATGTATTTTAAAGTCAGGAATAAAAATTATTTTTTTAATCAAAATTAAATGAAACGCTCATGAGGCGTGCACCTTTGGATTTTCTAAATTATTTTAATTATAGTATAGTATAGTATAGTAATATTTTTGTGATATTCAAAGACGTTCACAGAAGATCAGTGTCAAAGTACCACAGCTTTATGCTAAGTTAGGTACCTTTTTATCACCTTTCACGGAATTTTTAAAATGTACTATAGTTGTGGAAACATATTTATTAAAATCAATTAATTTTATCTAGTAATTACAATCTTGGACACTTCCAAAAGTTAAATAAGTTAATTTGTAGCAATATCTAATGATCGCCTACTTTCGTAGCAGTAACTAATGATGATGATGATGATGATGATAATGTATATCGTTCATAACTTAATGTAGTTGATAGTAGCAGATAGATAAGAACCCCATTATTTACTCTATTTCAAGCTAAATGTAATTTCTTTATTCAATTTTTAAGCTACTTTTAATATCTTATGGGGTGAGTTTATCTATCACTGATTCGAAAATTCATATTAAAACGGTATGTCGTTTTTAAAAAAGACAAAGTTGTAATAATTAAAATAAAATCAACCATTTTTATACTATATATATCAGGATATACCGTTGTCATCGGAGAGGAGCAGTACTATAATCGGACGCACCACAGAAACCGTGACGTTCGCGATGCCCGTCAACCAGCCGCCCACGCTCAAGTACCACATGAAGAAGTTAGCCATTACGGCCGGGAAAGCTTTCAGGTAACATTTTAAAATTATTACTATATGGGGTATTAATGTATTTTTCATCTGGTTGGGCTACATAAATATATACGAGTATAAGAAATAAATGTCAAATATACATTAAATAAATAATTAAAAAATATGTAAATAAATAAAAACCTAACCAGATGGAAACCCTCGAGAAAAGAAGAAAAGTTAATTAATTTAATAACACGGTAATATTGTACCACAAATATTACACATGAGACTACTCGTCCTAATCGGTTCTTTTACGCTGAAGCAGTAGGAAATAAAGAAGGCTTACATGTTGTATGCATCGTCTGATTTATGAATGAATTTCCAAGGAATCCTATCACTACAGCCCATCACAAGTTCACTGCTGAACATAGGCTTAAAATAGATTGCCACAAAGTACGCCCCTGAGCCACCTGCATCCATAGACTACCAGTTTGTTTTATCAGGTCTTTATTTCATCAAGTAGTGGGGGAGCGGGTCCACTCAAGATCTAATAAATTTACATAATCCGAAATAATATAAATAAATGTTTTTAGAAAATGTGGAAAAAAAGAGAAAGTGTTACGAAGACATCAATTTACTCTTAATAAAAAAGGTACTAGTTGTAAAACTTATAAGCAATAAATATAAGTGATCTCTTTGCCAATGAACAGAGCTTACATGTGCGGAACATTCACATTTGTTATAATAATAATTTTAAAAAATCCAAGTATGTATATTATACTTACATAACGCCATTATAGTTCCTATAGTATCTACAACTGGTGTAATACCAAAAGCACTCGGCGTCATAAGACTATTGTATTGTTTAAATTCTAGATGAGGAACTCTTTCATCTTTCCACTTTACCTTATCAATTTTGCTCCTGCATAACTGCTAGCTAAAAAAATCTTTAATGCACAACTTACTACTTCAGATATATCATCCCAGCTGACCTGTTTACCGATCCAGAGGAAGGCACCAATCTTACATTCACAATGTACGATTCTGAAAATGTGCCGCTCAGCAGGAACTCTTGGATCCAGTTCATTCCTGCCAAACGTGAAGTCTACGGATTGTAAGTATTTTATTTATAATAATATGGTTTTTTTTTTACAAAATTTTGCTACAACCGAAGCTAGCAAATACGCCATGAGGTACCTACTGCAATGTAAATGGGTTATCTTCTCTTTAAGCGCGTGCAATTGATCATAGAAGAGCCAAACGTAGTCTTGTACTCTAATTTAATTAGAAATAGCTTTCATTAAATTATTCACATAATATGATTGTTGCCCATCAGTGTATGCCCAAATAATAAAGCACTTACTGTTCTAGACCTATATCCGATAAGATCTTATCTAACAAAATATAAAAAGAAATACGTAATACAGTGTGTCTCTCGGTAAAGTGCAACCCCGAAAGGAGGTGAAACTAGACCATAAATTATCAACAAAAAAAAACTATATATTTTACTTTTTATTAACGAATTTAGATTTTTATATCCTATGTAGATTTCTTCCTAAGTAGTGGGTCGATTACTTCAAAATAAAAAAAAATACTGCCACGTAATTGGCGGTAAAAATAAAATAACAATTAGCTCGCAAAAAAAGTGGTATCATGACTCTAACTTTGCTTTTCGTGAAAAAATATCCTATTTTGACTGGTTTTTTTTTCCCAATGATCTCTAATTTTCTCAGAATTATGCCCCAAATACCAGGAAATTTTATAACTTAATACTAAATACTATTCTCTACCATATTGCCTTAAAATTAAAAAAAAAATCTACGGTGTTACATAAAAAGACGTTCCATTTTTTTAAACATTAAACTATTAAACTTTGATTACAAGTTTTAATCAAGTCACAAGTAGGTACATAATTTTTTACAGTTCTTATAATTAATGCGTTAAATGCTCAAAATGGCCGCTCGTTGCTCGAGGCACATTGCCGCACGAAAAGCAATTTGGTTTGTAGCTCTACGCACCATCCCTGGGTCACTTTTTTTTTTTTATAGGATAAGGGTGACAAACGAGCACACAGTCCACCTGATGGTAAGTGGTTGCTGCGGCCCATAGACATCTACATTTATCCTCTGTTACAAATCAAAATGTAGATGCGTTGTCACCCGTGAGGACTAAGATGGAATGCCTCATTTCCAGTAAAAAGGGCCTCCTTATTTCATTCGCCATTACCATTTCAGTGGTTTTATTAACTTTTTGTTTCATGGCACCCCATAAAAAGGAGTCGAGAGGTGTCAGATTAGGTGAACGTGCTGGCCAGCCCACTGGTCCTTCACGGCCAATCCATCTGTTTGCATAGACTTTGCACATTTCGCCCGTAATGGGCAGGACATCCATCCATCTGCAAAAACATACACCCCCGTCGCCTTATGGCCAGCGAAGTTTCTTCGCGCAGAAGTGGCAGATCGTCTCTTAATAAAGTTAAAAAACGTTCGGAGTTTAATGTAGTAGGTAAAATATCGGGCCAATTAAAACGTCATCGATTAGAACTGCCCATACATTTATTGAGAACTGCACTTGAAATGTATATGCCCTCTTTAAATGTGGATTTTCATAATGCCGTTCATGTAACTTCCTGCAATTTGTGATTCCATACCGAGTGAATATTGCTTCATCTATAAAAGATTTTTTTTTAAATTGTGGATCGTTCCTTATCTTTCTTTGAATCCACACAGACAGGACGCACCTTGGACGATTGTCTACATTTTCATGCAAGTGCTGGACTTGATGGTAATGATATGGATGCAATCCCTCCTTTTTCGAAATTCGCCATACCGATGTCTGATAAACCGTAATGCAAAGCCAAGCGTCTAATGCTGGTTGTATGATCAGCAAAAAAATCGTTTAAAACTGCCTCTTCTATTGAATTGTCAATAATTACAGCTTGTTGTTCACGGTGATCTTGTGCTAATCTAAGTTTGTTGTAGGGTAACTCCCATGAAGCAAATATAAAGAGGAGACGTTCTAATTAAGTTTCACTATGTAACAACGCGTAACAATTTGCGGGGTGAGGTGATGCAAAGCCCCGCCCAATTTACACCATCTACATCTACCGATAAATAGTAAAACTATTCGAATCGTTCCATATCGATGTTGCAATGTAGTTTAACTAGCTAGACGGCAGATGGCGGTATGTTCACAAAATGATTATAAACTATAAAAATAACATTTTGGCGATTAAAATTTCTTTGTCTGAATGCAAAACAAATTTCAGCAACTTCGTATGATTATTTTACCAATACTGAGGTCTACGTTCCTATATATTTTTAGTTCACATGACACAAAGTGTCGCCATCTAGTGTCGAATATATTTAATTATATTTGAGAGCCGACGGAAAGAGATTTTTCTAGAACTATTTTAATAAATTAGGTGTAAAATTACTTACAAATAAAATATGATGCCATCCATAGCATCAGAGCGTCTATCTGAGTAGTTTTTACACGATAAAATACAACACTTCATCCTTTTCCTCTTAATACTACGAAAATACACCGATTTGCGATTTTCAACACATAAGCGCACAGGACGAGTGCTGACAATATACTAACTAAAGCCACGCCCACTATGATGACGTCAGGACCTACTTAGAATCACAGTGCACAGTTGAATATGCCGTCTCCTCTTTATATTTGCTTCATGGTAACTCCCGATGAACTTCTTGAAAATTTCGCGCTGACAGTATGTCTTCCCCGAAATTCGTTGATGTATGCAGTACAACATACAACACACTCTGTAACATACTCTGTACAACATAGCTTGATATTTTTGACAGATGTCAAATTTATGATCGACATAACTTTGCAATGACGAACATAATATTTTCTTATTTTAATAATTTAAAAAAATTGTTAAAATTTAAAAAAAATAGACACACAACACAAAAGTATTAAAGATTCAAGCATTTTCAGAAAATCTAAGTAGTTTTTATTGCTTTAAAGTAAGATTTAAATAGTAAAACTGAAAACAATGGATGCTTGTGCAATGTTACATCGGTCGGTCGGATGGGACACAAATAACAGGCAATAACTGTTACAAATATCGGTTACAAAGAAGCCTTAATTAAAATCATTTTCATCTATATATGAAACTCTTGGTTGTGCTTCTTTTCCCGATTAGAAACTATGTTTTACAGAGAAAATTTTATTTTATTTTTCAACCTTGATTTTAACTCAATATTATATGAATAATATAACCCATCGTCACTTACCTACCCAATGTTGTATATGTAACATCCTATGACGCCATAAGTAATTTTGTTAAAATCAGTGTTTGCATCTGGGCACTGCACATTTCACCATGATAACTAAACAATCTATTGAATATCGTCGAGATAAATAATAATTAACGCGCGTGACCTTTCGTGAATAATAACGTCGTCCTGGCCTTTTCGACACTGTTCTAACGCGTGTTTACAATTCTGACTTGCTTACACGCAAGTTACATATGCCTTCCGAGACCTCCGAATCCATCAGAATCTGCTATGCAAATAACAGCACGTCTTTAAAAACATGACTCAATTTACTTAAGTAGCTTAAGAATGTTTAACATGGTTTTATACCAAGGTTATGTTGTTAAGATAGCCCAGTAGTAATTAAGTTACTTTGTAAGTTAGAAAATAAAAGTAATATAGGAAAAGTCTTCGTCTCCTTCCACCTCAACCCTGCCTAAACTGCCGCAAGCGTAATTCGCGCTCTATAGTTAATAAGTACTCTAAGTAGAGATACGAGTATCTCGTAAGTACTGAAGATATAGGAGAGAATAAGCTGTGAATGTTTTGTGATTCCAAATGTTCCGTTTTCAATATTGTGTGAAGTATATGTCAAGTGCGATAGGGTCAAGTAATCAATACATTCTTTGCATAGGTATTGATCAAAATTACTCAAATTCACATCATACCCAAACCAGTAGGTGACGCTCTGGTTGTGTATTTGATAAGTTCTATATCTACACTGTTAAAAGTCCGGAGCGAATTCGGAGTGTAATTCATCGCGTCACCTACACTAAAGTGCAGAACTACGTCTGCCGAAACAACTAGTATTTAGATAAAATGCATTTTTTTTTGTGGTCAGACCTCTCGAGTCGCACGTGTCACGCTGGAACTTCATAGTGGAAGCTCAGGATGGCGAAGGTCTGGTAGCGCGAGGACCTCTCGACATCACAGTACAGCAACACAAGAGCGCACGTACCATCAACCACCAGTTCATCATGCAATTCAAACTGGTCAAGGACTACACTAACGCGATAGACTGGCAGATAAGGGCGCTGGAAGGCATCGTCAACCTATTCAGAGACACCGACATGGATCACTTGACGGTGTTGAATGCCACCGTCGACGGTGATATGTGCGAATATGTTTGGACGAATGACACGCTGCCCAAGGATCCGTCGTGTCCAATGGACGACATAAATAGGCTCATGAAGGTACGTCAAATTTAGCTTAATACTCATTATTAATCCGTAATTATTCCTTAATTCATTCCTGCTTAACATGTGCCTCTTCCATGTTAGAAAAAATTAGTTGTGATACCACCCTTAGGTGAAATGGTACCGCAGTACTATACGACATACCTGTAATGCTGCTTCCCACCAGTAATCTGTTAGTATATAGTTAGTATTTATGAACATGTCTATTATTGGTTTTGGTTGGTAGATTTAAAGAAGCTAACACTAAATACTGATAAAACTTAATTATCTAACGATAACTATGTAAGTTTGTATTAAAAGTAAATGATAATGTTACGAGCTTGGGGTTCGAGACAATTAAAAACTGCCGATTGAATTACCAAAATTGACACTTTAATTACAGAACATTAGTTACAACTTAAAACCACACTAATAATAAAACACAATTGTACTACTGATCACTTTAGTTTGCAGTTATTTCGCTTCGAAGTATTCGCTTGTATCGCCAATTCAATACTGACTCGGTCGCGGTCTATACCGGCCTTTTATAGGGCCTCAGGTAGTTTCCAGAACCTTCGACTATAGAAACATCTAGAATGTTTAGCCTAATGGCTGGGCGCGGATCGCGAACTCGAAAGGTCGTGGGTTCGAATCCGCCATTCGACTACTGTCGTGAACCCATTTTAAGCTTACCAGAAGTGGTTAAAGGGAATATTAGTAATGTTTAATAACATTATTAGTATTCCTATTATTTTTTTTTAAAAATCGGTCCCGATATTTCTAGAAGGATTTTGACTCTCCTAGTTCTGCTACTCGATACTAGAGGGGGCTAGTGGTAACTAGTGTTGCCATGTACAAGACATTAATAGTGGCGCGCAACAATAATAATCACACGCACCCAACAATCTGGGAACGCGTGCGATGAGTAAACTCAAAAGTAACAGTAAATAATATTTTAAATAAAAATTGTTACAAAAAAATCAAAACTTCACGATTTTAGACTTAAGGTCCATATTTTGAGGGGCTATTCAAGGTCAAAGTTGGACAAAAATATCGTAGACACGTGATACGTGTCACAGCGAATATACCTTACTTCATCTAACGTTAATGCAATTTCATATTTTTGGCTTGCCTGCTTACTATTCCAGTTGCCGCATTGCATTTTACCGTTTGTATAATCTGAGTGACAATGATTTCATAATCTGCTTTTTGTAGCAGACCACGTGGATCGTAGCAACCACTTACGCTCCACAAACTTTATGCCACTTATAAGGTGGCCTATGTCCTCATTTGTCCACAAACAGTTGACCCGAAAAAGACTATATCCAGGAGTGAATTAAAAAGTTGATAAAGGAGACTGTCTAATGTTAGTAGATAATTGAAAGTAGAATTAACAATTTGATCTAATTGCAGATAATGGAGTCGGAGTCGGAGGCCGGCAGTCCGTCGGCGGCGCTGGCGCGCGCCATGTCGCCCGAGCTGAAGGTGGCGGCCGTGCGCTGGCGCGGCGCCGGGCCCTGCGCGCCGCCGCCCGCCGCCCGCCCGCCGCACGACACCTACCCGCCCGTCACGCGCAACCAAGTGGACCACCTCACCGCCACCGTCGGACACCTGCTCGTGTACAAGGTGCCCGAGGTGAGTGCACCGCGCCCCGCCCGCCGCCCGCCCGCCGCACGACACCTACCCGCCCGTCACGCGCAACCAAGTGGACCACCTCACCGCCACCGTCGGACACCTGCTCGTGTACAAGGTGCCCGAGGTGAGTGCACCGCGCCCCGCCCGCCGCCCGCCCGCCGCACGACACCTACCCGCCCGTCACGCGCAACCAAGTGGACCACCTCACCGCCACCGTCGGACACCTGCTCGTGTACAAGGTGCCCGAGGTGAGTGCACCGCGCCCCGCGCCCCGCGCCCCGCCCGCCGCCCGCCCGCCGCACGACACCTACCCGCCCGTCACGCGCAACCAAGTGGACCACCTCACCGCCACCGTCGGACACCTGCTCGTGTACAAGGTGCCCGAGGTGAGTGCACCGCGCCCCGCGCCCCGCGCCCCGCCCGCCGCCCGCCCGCCGCACGACACCTACCCGCCCGTCACGCGCAACCAAGTGGACCACCTCACCGCCACCGTCGGACACCTGCTCGTGTACAAGGTGCCCGAGGTGAGTGCACCGCGCCCCGCCCGCCGCCCGCCCGCCGCACGACACCTACCCGCCCGTCACGCGCAACCAAGTGGACCACCTCACCGCCACCGTCGGACACCTGCTCGTGTACAAGGTGCCCGAGGTGAGTGCACCGCGCCCCGCGCCCCGCGCCCCGCCCGCCGCCCGCCGCCCGCCCGCCGCACGACACCTACCCGCCCGTCACGCGCAACCAAGTGGACCACCTCACCGCCACCGTCGGACACCTGCTCGTGTACAAGGTGCCCGAGGTGAGTGCACCGCGCCCCGCCCGCCGCCCGCCGCCCGCCCGCCGCACGACACCTACCCGCCCGTCACGCGCAACCAAGTGGACCACCTCACCGCCACCGTCGGACACCTGCTCGTGTACAAGGTGCCCGAGGTGAGTGCACCGCGCCCCGCCCGCCGCCCGCCCGCCGCACGACACCTACCCGCCCGTCACGCGCAACCAAGTGGACCACCTCACCGCCACCGTCGGACACCTGCTCGTGTACAAGGTGCCCGAGGTGAGTGCACCGCGCCCCGCCCGCCGCCCGCCCGCCGCACGACACCTACCCGCCCGTCACGCGCAACCAAGTGGACCACCTCACCGCCACCGTCGGACACCTGCTCGTGTACAAGGTGCCCGAGGTGAGTGCACCGCGCCCCGCCCGCCGCCCGCCCGCCGCACGACACCTACCCGCCCGTCACGCGCAACCAAGTGGACCACCTCACCGCCACCGTCGGACACCTGCTCGTGTACAAGGTGCCCGAGGTGAGTGCACCGCGCCCCGCCCGCCGCCCGCCCGCCGCACGACACCTACCCGCCCGTCACGCGCAACCAAGTGGACCACCTCACCGCCACCGTCGGACACCTGCTCGTGTACAAGGTGCCCGAGGTGAGTGCACCGCGCCCCGCCCGCCGCCCGCCCGCCGCACGACACCTACCCGCCCGTCACGCGCAACCAAGTGGACCACCTCACCGCCACCGTCGGACACCTGCTCGTGTACAAGGTGCCCGAGGTGAGTGCACCGCGCCCCGCGCCCCGCGCCCCGCCCGCCGCCCGCCCGCCGCACGACACCTACCCGCCCGTCACGCGCAACCAAGTGGACCACCTCACCGCCACCGTCGGACACCTGCTCGTGTACAAGGTGCCCGAGGTGAGTTGGAAGGCCAAGTAACCACGAATCTGCACGTCATTCGATATGTCGATGCCGAGGATTCCGATATTGGCTGAGATAACAACAAAGGGGGTACCCTAAAATCGAGGCGCCCTAGCTTTGTAAAACACCAGTATTAATAGGCTTGTATTCGCATCGTCTACTGCAGTCTTAATGCTCCAATGTGCTGTGATGTGTGTGAGTCAGTAATAGTTTGATAATGAAATTCAATACTTTTTTAATACGTTTCATAAAACGGAATCGAACAGTATAAAGTGCTTACGCCCAGACATCTTCTAGGTTGGATGTACATTGTTTGTTCTAAAATTCTTCTCCGCTTTCGCTTTTCGCTCGACAATTACGTGGCGTGATATAACGTTTTCATATGTACACACCGTACTACAATGGTTGCTATACAGGGTATTTTTGGAACGCTCCCGAAAACTAAGACAGGCGACAGCACCAAGTATACCTTTGATCATGGATCACAAATAAATTCGATCCTGATGAAAAAAAATCATCTTTTAACAACGTTTTATTAGCTTTATTCACGCGCCATCATGTTAGTACAGCTAAATGAAACGATAATTTCATAAAAAATATCATGAAAATACTGAAACATAAAACCAGCAGTGGAATGACTGAATTGTATCACCTGACTAAAGGTCAATGTACTCGCGAACGCAAATTCGCGCGGCCCGCAACTAGCGGGCCATACCACTACATACGCTAATGAAAAAATACTTAAATGAAATGTAACCAAGGTTGGAGTCATGCGTTTTTATTCATCGTGTAGGTATGTTTATTATTCTCATGTATTCAGTTATGTACCTATTCAGATTAGTTCAGTACTAAGTTATTTAAAAAAATAGTTATGAAACAGCTTACCGCTCTAAATCCTCCGTGGTCTTATGAGATGCAGCTCAAATTGTGCTCCATTCATTTCAAGGTAGATTTGGGTGCAGGCGGGGCATCATCGTATGGTCTTCGACACAGTCCGTACATAGTTTCTCGAAAGCATCCACGATCCTTTGGCGCATTTTGTCAGCACTATCACACTCACGATTAAAAACCCTTTCTTTCACATACCAAAAAGAAGTCTAACGGGGTCAGATCTGGTGAGCGAAGTGGCCAAGCGTGTGGTCCTACTCTGCCGATCCAGCGATCATCAAATAGCTCATTGAGGCGCTCACGGACGAACCTCACGACATGGTATCGCTGTCTGTTCAGTCGCTGTGGCAGAAACACTGGTCCCAGTATGCGATCCTTAAATAAACCTGCTTAACGTATGGGTTAACCGACCATCGGGTTTGGTGCCCGGTTTGTCGAACAGCGTGCGGGTTAACCTCAGAGATACACGTGTGTATTTCTTCGGTTCCACAGGCCGTTTCTGGTAAATGTCGACTCATCCGTCCAGATAATGTGCTCAATGGAACCAGGCACACGTTGTCGCTGGTATAATAACCAACGGCAGAAAACTCGTCGGCGGTCGTGATCGCCGGGAGCTAAAGCTTGCACTTTGTGCAATTTGTATGGGCGCATTCGGTTACGCTTCAACACTTTGTGCACTGCACAGTATGACACACTTGTTCCATCCCGACGTCTTAACAATTTATTTGGCGATACTTCGTGTACCTGGGTTCGGATAACATGTTGCTGTATTCACAATCACTATAAAAGTACGCGTTAAGCATTATTAAAACAAAAAACGTAACAACAAGAATAATACCAACACGTAATCACAAGTAATAACAATACGATTGAGCTGTCGCTCGCGCACGCGTGTACAAAATCAACACGGAACTGTTTCAAAAACTACAATTAATAACGAACCCCAACAAAACTGAAACCTACTGCTAGGACAGTTATTATACTCTTTGTCTACTGCGTCACAGCGTGAGGCGACACGAGCCGGCCGGGTTACATTCTGCCGTCGTCGGGTTACATAAAGAAGGACGCAACTAACAAAAACGTAAAATGGAAATAAAAAATAAATTGATGAATTATTCTTTCAGACCCTGTGTCTAAAGTATATTAAAAGGTATCTATATGAAAATTGAAATATATACGTAGAGACATGAAGATTTTAAGGACGAACAAATTTTTTGATAATTTGTTTATTTATTTAAATAAAACGAATTTTCCTTTTCATCTTAGCTTAAAAAATACACCTGGCAACACAAAAACATCGAAGGAAAGACGCATATAACTATTTGCGTCTTTCCAACCTAATAAATTTAAAAAAAAAACTGCCATTCATTTAACAATTTTACATATTTTGGAAAGGTCATTTGAAGTTGAAAGGACGCTAATAGTAATTTACAACTTTTTTTTTTAATAAATATTAGAAAAGCATTGGTAGTGAGACACAAAAAATAACAACCCGCAACTCTTGAGTAATGATTTTAAAGGGGATATCATACAAGACTTACTACGATAATAATTAAAAATTAAAAATTTTGTACAACCGACTTTAATATAAATAATTAAGGATAACTCAAAAACTATTGGTCTGACCTCGATCAAATTTATATGGGACCACATGTGAAATGTGAAACACCAGCTCTTAACAATAAGATATAAGCTCTTAATAATAAGATATAGAATAATAAGACAAGACCAAGAATAATTGAAATTTAAGTAATCGATGCAAATATTGTTAAAGATGACGTAGCAACTGGTTAAATAAGTCTTTTCTTTTATGTTGAATTTGTATAAGTCTTTTCTACTAAAAAAAGTCATCTGTGATCAACAGTTACGTCTAAAATTCTTACGATAATTTCTAAAATATTGATATTTGTGAATATTAAAAAAATTTAGTAGATGCGCCTTCTTATCATGAATCGAATGTTATATTTAACTCATTTATTCATAAATTGTTAGATGCGCCCTTTTTTCTTACGACCGCAGCATTGTTTCGTACCGAGCTAGATACAGGTCGATAGCGGAGGGGGTGTGGGTACAGTCGCGTTCTAAAGTACTACATGGTATTGGGCTATTGTTTTATAATATTATAGTAATTAATTGTTTTAATGTAGAATCATAATAGGTGTTTTACTAGCTACTTAGAACTTTGGAAGAGGTGGGAATTAAAAATGGATAATGTTTACATGAGCATTATTTGTTATTTCTATCGTAAAATATAAAGTAGTTTGTAACAAGAAAACTTTAGCTAAGGGTAACACGCCGTCCATTATGACGTCTTGGGTCACATGGAAGCCAGATGTTAATGGTGTGTTGGTGTTACTGGATGCTACTTCATCATCACTTTCATCTTCGCTTGAGCTTCCGTCATCAGGTCGATCACATGGTAATTTTTTCGGTATTCTTCCTCCACACTTTTAACTTTTCTGCACAATTTTCCCCATTCACCTTCTCCTATCATATTTACCTTTTCGATCACTAGTTTAGTCATAAAACAATAGATATAAATAATTTTTCTTTCCTTCCTTTTTAAAACATCGTCGCGAGTCGCAAAGTAAGCTGTGTATGCGACTGTATTTTTGGAGCGAACAAAGCGCGGGAACCAATAGCATGCAGGCACACTAATACTGGCGGATTGTTCCCCCGTCGCGCGCCTTTCGTACCAATATGTGATAAATCGCTCAGTGCCCAAGTTCAAGGCCAGCGTTTGTTTTTCACCGTTCGCGCGTACATTAACCTCCATTAGTCAGGTGATATCAATTCAGTTTCCACTGCTGGTTTTATGTTTCAGTATTTTCATGATATTTTTTATGAAATTATCGTTTCATTTAGCTGTACTAACATGATCGCGCGTGAATAAAGCTAATAAAACGTTGTTAAAAGATGATTTTTTTTTCATCAGGATCGACTTTATTTGTAACCCATGATCAAAGGTATACTTGGTGCTGTCGCCTGTCTTAGTTTTCGGGAGCGTTCCAAAAATACCCTGTATACGTTAGGGTGTATTGTCAAGTTTGTATAATTACATTCGTCAGGTAAGTTTGAGTTGGGTAGAAGACATAAACGTAGTGGTTACTCAACATACACGCTTCGATCTTTTCTGTCAGGTACATCTTATATTGCTTTAAATATAGCTTGATTAGAATGACAGCTGTCATCATAAGTAACGGCATAACTTTGTAGTAGCGTCCAACGAAATGAGTGATTTGATTAATATTCATTCTGATCAAGTTATATTTAAAGAACTATTGTTTGTGTGGTTACCTACGTTTTCATACGTGTACGTATGAAAAGGTTACTTCACAAGACGAAAAACTAAAGCGGATGAGAATTTTTAGAACAAAAAACGTTCGTTCAACCTCGAAGATATTTTGGCGTGAGCGCTCGAACTGTTCGATTTTGTTTCATAAGATTAAAATAGTAATGAATTAGTAAAAAGTTTTAATTTTTCTCTCTCCGTTCCATCGTCGAGGTTTAGGTGTTCAGGGGGTGATCTTGTAGCTTAGCCGAGTGATAGATGAGCGCAGGCTTGAGAGTTGGTGAAGGAATGTAGTGTGGTTGGTTTCGGCAGGACACGTTCTTCGACCCGGAGGACGGCGGCACGCGGCAGCTGGCGCTGGCGCTGGTGCGCGGCGACCGCGCGCCGCTGGCCGCCGCGCACTGGCTGCAGTTCGACGCGCGCAACCAGGAGTTCTACGGCCTGCCCGCGCCGCACGACGAGGGCACCATGCACTACCAGCTCGTCAGTACTCACTGCTCACTACTCACTACTCACTACCCACTACCCACTACTCACTACTCACTACTCACTACTCACTACCCACTACTCACAACCCGCCGCAACCAAACATTTCTTACACTTACGCTACAACTACAACTTCTATATTCTAACCAACTACATGTTCCGTGTGGTGGCAGTGTGAGAATATCCACTACCCAATATCATCCCGTGTGTGTCGTAAGTTGCGACAGAAGGAAACAAAACGAAAAATAGACAACAGCGTCTTTCTAACGACGACTTAAAATAAAAAATAGTTGGCAACCCGCTTGCCAAGCATTACGTATATGGCAAATATCCCCTTTATGAAGCAATCATGGGGGTGGGGGAGGCCTAAGTTCAGCAGTAGGCTTTAATAGGCTTGTAACAGTAACACACACACACACACACACACACACACACTATTTTTACAGATTTTATAAATTTACTTATTTTTAATTCCCCACCTTTCCTGTGGTCACGGGGACTGAGGTGTAACAACCCGATGTAAACTTAACCCGAAATACCTTCTTAGGTCCGATCTTTCTGATCTAGAATATTAAAAAAAAAACTTGCAAAGCACCCCAAACATCGGGAATAAAAATAAGTAAATTAAACGCGATAAAATCCATAAAAAAATGTTTACCAATATCATTCAAATGGAGAAATGATAATATCATCGCGTAACTCACATAATATGATAAACAAAATTGTGAGCTACAATACTTTACACATTTTAACCAACTTCCAAAAAAAGGAGTAGGTTTGTAATATGATTGTGTGTTTTTTTTATATGTATGTTACAGGATATCTTCTTCAATTATGAACTGCTTTTAATGATCTTTTTTTAGTAAATACGTAAGTTTATACTTCAGGCATGGTCTCAAAAGATTCAAGTTGTCAAAATAGAGGGTGATAACTTAATAAAAAGAGAAAGCAAAATTTAAAGAACTAAAAGTAATATAATTCATTTTCACTATCTTATAATTCAGAATATATTTTTTTAAATATCAGGAGCATATAATATAATTTAGTCCATACAAAGGTATTCCCCTTTTTTACTAGATAATGACACTAGAGTAAATATTCTTACAATACAATATATGTATAGATTATTACTGGGAACCTTCTATAATAAGGTAGAATGAAAAGCATGTGCACTGCTCATCATGTTTTTTACGGAAGTAATATAATATATATTTCATTTCCCTCTTCTACAATTCCATATAACCTGAACACCATAATCTTTACTATTTGTATTTCCCCTCTTGTGGGATCTTTCTTTGAAAAAGACTGACACCACCGTTGTCAATTTGTTTACAATTTTCAACTTAAGTAAATATAATGAAATTATAAAAAATAATATATTAATAACTATCTTACGTGTAGCTGGTGCTTCTTTATGATTTTATAAGTTTTCTTACGTACGTTTTTAACATGATTTCACCACACGTGAAAGCGTTTTTTTTTTTGCAATTTTGATTGTGACAATAACATGTGTTGTTATAGATGGTAATCTATAAATCAGATAGTAGCCTTGCCAAACTGTATAATATCATTTGATACTGAAGCCAAACATACGCCGGCAAATATGGCTATCTGTGTACACAAGATAATATAACAAGGTAGCCCAGTGTAATATTTTATCGAATCCTATTGCATGTTTTCAGATCGCCGAAGACTCAAGCAAGAAGAGTGCATACGACAGCCTCATAGTTGAAGTAGTAAAGGCGCCAACAATTAGACCAACGGTGGAGTTCCACATGACACTGGACTACCCGTACTCTAACCTAGCCAACAACGCTAATAACAAACGGAAAGTTGTCGAGAAACTGGCAGCGTTGTTCGGGCAGAAGGAGACTGATAACATAAGAATACAAAGCATCACGGACAAACCTACAACTATCATCTGGTTAGTTGAACGCTAACTAAGAATATTGCTAATCGAATGTTTTGTTACATATTAAACAAAATTGATGATATTTTTTTAAGAAATTTTTCAAGCAATATACTGTTGGCCTGCGTCTAAAATAAATAAAGCATGTGTCTTACGTCTTTTCACTTGCAACTGGTGCCTAACTCACAAATAAACTCCTAATAGCCAAAATCAATAAGATTCGAATAGTAACGATGAATCTTGTACGATATAACGATAAATCTGTATTCACATAATATTTTTTTTCTTATTTGTCAATTTAAACTAAAAGAAAAGCTCTATTCGGTCGCTTATTCAGTATAACCTTCGTTCAGCTTTGCTTTGCATGGTGGTTGATACATTTAGCGTTACTGTAAAAGAGCTATTAAAACATAATTGGCCTTATTGCAAAAATTTGTTTATTAGTCTCAGATTAAACTAAACTTCATAAACAAATATCAAATTTTGTGAAGTCTGTTGCGCCGCGGCTAAGGGACTTCTTTACTTAGAAGGGTAATAACAACTTTTTGTAATAAGACGGAATATGAACGTTTTTGCCTTAATATAAAAAGTTCACTTTGTATCAAGCTATTATTATTATTGGAATTATTGAATTTTAATTCTTCTTTGTTGATTCAGAATTTGACGCAGCAGAAATAGTTCTAATGATTAGGAATTTTCTGTGAAAAATAAATCAACCGATGCTTTAAACATTTTTGTTTCTAAAATTGTACCTAAACTTTGAACCGATTTCCTTTATACTTCTCAAATTGTTGTGTATCATGTTGCCTTTTACCCGTCGATATGAAGTCATCTTATTCTCGTTGTCTACGTGATCCAACGCTCAGCGCAGATTTATATACCTTATGCAAATTGTTAAATGCTTAATGAAATAAAAGAGATAAAAATAGATTTATTATATTGCTTCTAGAGCAGATTGATATTGAAAATTGTTTTACTTACAGGTACAACACCAGTCTACCGATGGACAGGTGTCCCAAAAAAGAGATCGAAGAGTTGCGGAATATGATAATCGTTGACGAAAGGGGCTCAATGGGTGGCAACCTTCGGGAAAGAGTCGACCATATTTTCGATAAGGACTTCAAAGTGATGTCCATAGGATTGATATCAATGGGTCTTTGTGCTGAGCAAGGCACGAAAACGCCCAAAGTTGGTCTGGTGCCAGTTAACGCCGGAACTAATCTGCAGAACAGTAAAACTAGTAACGCTGCCGATCCGGAGTACTCGGACTATTTAGTGACGTTCGTCATACCCGCTATAGTTATCGTTTGCATGATAATGGTGGCCGGAGTTATTGCGTGCGTGCTTTATAAGAGGCGACGTACAGGTAAGGATTATCTTTCTATACTTATGTCAATTTTTTATTGATTAAAATTGTGCCTTGTAAAGGCTAGATCACCGTCGCAGTGTAAATAGGCCTTAATTTAAAAAAAAACGTTTAAATTTGTTAGAGTAGGACAGAAGATAAATATAAAAGTTTAAGCAAACGTAATTTGAGGCGTCTACTGGATAGATAAGGGAACAATCTGCGTAAAACAATTGACAGCAACTGAACTGAAAGTTAAAGATCATTAGTGGACTGCTGCAGCCTGATGATGATGACTTCTGTATATAGAAAAGAATAAATACCACACGTTAAGCGACTTTGTGTTACTGTGTTTTGAGTGCCAACAATATTTCATTTAGTGTTAACAAGTAAAGTAATTAATTAAAACACTAAACATATTTATTTGCCATATTTAAATTAAATACAATGAAATTCGTAAACAAATATATTTTACTAGCTTTGTAACGTGGCCTTATCCGTGGAAATACATAGCAAAAAATCATGTCTTTGAAACCGTTTCATTTGATATTGAGATCCTGAAATAACAATCAAGTTTGTCCGTAACTTCCTACAACCAGTGTAAATTTAATATGTATACATTCGAAAGAGAGCCTTGTTAGTTCAGGGGCTAAGCGTACGCCGCAAATTTATCGGTATGCGAGCAACCCGGGTATCTATCCCCGCCAGCACCAATGAAATTGTTAATAGCAATTTTAAGTGCTGATTTACCACGTGACAATGGTGAATGAAAACATCTTGAGGAAATCTGCATATCAGAGAAATAAGAAAAAAAATATTTCCTAGACATTTAAAGCTTGCCAACACGCATAGCAGCAACGCGGCGGACATTTACTTGTCCTAAAATCCTCCTCAGAAATGAAAGGAGGCCAGTGACCAGCAATGGGACGTATGTAGGCTGCAACTTTAACTTTAATATAAATAATGTATACCGTTATTGCAGTTTTACAAAGTAGAAAATACAAGTAAATCAGGCTTCTGCTTATTTGAAATCATCCCAAATTAAATTGTGTACGCGTGCTTCTCTGTGTGTGATAAAATTCACGTTTTTGCCGATCGATCGACCCTTACGAATGTGTGCGTACGTAGTAAAATAGTAGGCGTTAGATATTTATGAATAACACTCAGTTAAATAATGCATTACTACGCATTCTGAATTTAAAAGATAAAAAAGACAGAATGTTTGAGATTCTATGCATGCGCCTATATTACTTACCTGAACCTTATCTCTTACCTCTGCAAATTTGAACGTATATTGCAAAATAACCCTGTATAGGCTGCAAGTTTTAACTTTATATTTAGATGCAATAGTTTCAAGTTGAATTGTTTAGTACGGATAGGCAAAGAAAAATATTTTCTTGATTCGTGTTAATCTTTAAAATAAAATCCCAAACAGAAAATCCTTTTGAAACTGAAAATTAAATAGATAAAACCATGTGTTTTGTTTGTTATATTAAGTGGACAAATTTCTAATAAATATTTTAACTGTAGGCGGTGCGATCGCTTGAATAAATGCTAAAGGTGATTTTTATTTGAAACATTCTCAATGTAGTGCACATTTAAACACAGCTGCTTATAAAATTAAATTAAATGCTTTTAAATAGTATTGTTAGCCCAAGGATTCGGACAGTGCGCCGGCAACGTTGAGGCGAAATTGAGAATTAAACTATGGCTTGGAGCACAAATTATTTTAATAAACGACGCCAAACGCACAGCAAATGCGCAGATGCGAATATAGTATAATTCTCTTCACGTTATTTATAATTGTTAAGATACCTATATTGTTATTGAAAAAAGGCACTTATTTAAAAAAAATTTAGAGCTGATCTTTTAATTTTGGAAAGTGGAAAATTGAACTATTTTATTCATAAGTATTCTTTGAGAGCGTGGTCCCCGGTCGAGTCGGCCCATTCGTGCTACAACCATAATATAGCTGCAGCGTGGCTCTGCCACGCGTAATGTTTTGTTTTCTTATCTGTTCCGGCTTTTTTGAGGTTCTTGTCATACGAAATGGTAATGTCTACCAAAAATATCCTTGACTTTGCCCGGTCCACCAACACAATATCAGGCTTATCCGCAAGAATAGTCCTATCTGTGATGATGGTTCTGTCCCAATAGAGCCTGGTGCGTTCACTTTTGAGCACGGCTTCCGGCAAGTACTTTTAGTATGGCAGTTACCGATCCACGAAACCGTACTTCAGAGCTAGCTCGTGGTGATAATTATTATTGATAAAGCCCATCATAAGTCCACTGCTAGAGATAAGCCTCCCCTAAAGAACGCCATAAAGCACGGGTCGAAGCCACTTGCAACCCTCAACTTCCTGCATCTCAAACCAGGTCGTCACTCTATCTAGTGGAGGGCCGCCCTACACTTCGCTTACCGCGGCACAAGGCTGCCACTCGAGAACGGTCTATCGGTTGTCCCATTGCTACTTTAGCTTACTAATTCGTTGGTCTATGTCGGTTACTCTTAGATCTTAAATTTTCACTTAAAGGACCACGTTTCAGATCCCTATGTTATCACCGGCAACACGCACTGATTGTACACTCATTTTCTAATTTTGAGGTATACGTGACGAGTATAATTAAAAATATTTAGAGAGAGATGTGTCGTGTCTCCCGAACGCTACTCAACCGAGTTGAATCCGTCGATTGACCTTCTCGGTTGAAGTTGGACTTTCCTAGTCGGACAATTTTTTCTAGGTAAACTTACCCGTAGACAACTCCGAGTATAGTGCTCCCAACAACTACCAATATAGCTACAGCCATGCTGTAGCTATATTGTGGTTGCAGCACGAATGGGTCAGCTCGACCGGGGCAGGACCACGGTCTCATAGAATACCAGCGTAAAATAGCATCATAACGCTGTTGTGTTTCGTATGGTGAGTGTAGAGAACCGGAGACCCATTTTTACTGGAAACGAGGTATTCCATCTCAGTCCTCAGGGGTGGCGGCGCATCTGCATTTTGATTCTTAATTGAGGATAAATGTAGATGTTTATGGGCCACAGCATCCACTTACCATCAGGTGGACTGTGTGCTCGTTTGTCATCCTTATTCTGTAAAAAAAAATTCAGGTTTGACATGGACGTTGCACAAGTTTTATTAATACGACTGTATTTTTTTAATTTATTTATGTTGTACTTTATCTTACGGTGACATACGATTTGGCCAGTGTGATTACCCGAACATTAAATTAATATTCGGGTAATCACACTGGTAGTCAATAGTATATCCGTGACACTTAAAAACTAACACTGACAGTGTAATGAATAGCTAGGTATCGCGTAGGTGGTTTATCGCCGATCGGCTGCACGCTACTTTGTAACACTAGTACTGTAAGCCTCTCCGCATGACGTCGCTGGTACGCTTTCTGAATCCTTAACGTTAGTTATATTTTACTGTAAATACACATAGAATACACATAGGTATGCATAAATTGCCCACTTGTGCACATTATGCATAATTCATCTGTCTTACTTTTAGTATGTATGATTTAAGCAGAGTCGGATAATCTCATGTAGTGGTAGTGTAAGAATGTCCACTACCCAATATCGCCCCGTGGGGGTCGTAAGAGCTGACAGAGGGAAACAAACCAGGAGATGGGCAGCAAAATTATAAAAAAATGCGGTTGCCAACCCGCTTGCCAAGCGTAGCAACTGTGGCAAAATTCCCCTATGAGGCAATCTATGGAGGAGGCCTATGTTTAGCAGTGGTATTTTACAAGCTGTAATGGGTGGATGGATGAATTAACCCAAAGGTTGGGTAAACTACTGTCTAATAGTTCCGCAGTCTAAATAAAACTGTTTTTATGACATATGAAAATAACAAGGATGCATTGTCGCTACATGGCATAATCCGACCCTGCACTTATACTTCATACAATAACTTAATACTTTTAACATACAACGCAGGTAAAATGAGCGTGGGCGATGAAGAAGAACGCCAGGCGTTCCGGTCCAAGGGTATTCCCGTTATATTTCAAGACGAGTTAGAAGAGAGAGCTGACGCAGAGCCAGTTCACAAAAGTCCAGTTATAATGCGCGAGGAAAAGCCGCCCTTATTGCCTCCAGCACCAGAGTACAGATCAGGGGAGGATGCTCCCTACCGCCCTCCGCCACCTTTCGCCGCGTCCCGCACACCCCCTAGACCTAAGGCGACACCCACGTACAGGAAGCCGCCCCCATACGTTCCGCCTTAAAACTGCCTGATTAACTATTCTTAGTATAAAACGACCGTGTTTCTCAATGTTACTTGTAACGAATACTTGAGTGAAACGGGTCAACAAAATATTGTTTGCTTCGTCATTGCAAAACAGCTTAACTAGTCGATATATATCAATCATTTGCAGCTATTCGATTATGATTTATTTATTGTATACCTACTATTGCCAAATTTCTTCAGTTTTGTTGATTTCCTATATTGAGTTTTTAATAAGTTATAAATGCATTTATTACAAACATATAAATAATGCGAAACCTCATATCGTCGAGAAAGGAATTGTGCACAATTTTGTGACTACGAATTTCTTATAATATAATGTAAGTATATTTGTCACGAAGTAGGTGTGAAAATTTAGATGTAATGTGGTAAGTATGTATGTTAACGACATTGATGGCATTCAATTATGTAAGAACTGACACTTCACAATGAAATATTATTAGATACTGTTGAAGTAGTTTTGTAATATTAGGTGGTAGACTGGATGGAACAAAGTCTTACACACACGAACGTCGTATAATAACTGCTATTTTGAAGCAAACTCATTTGTATTTTTTTATTCACGTAAAGACGAATAAAATGACTAGATATGATTGGCTAAAGGTGTGCCATTGTTTAAAGATTGTTATGTAATAATACAATTTAAAATTAAACATATCGGAAACGTAACATTTTAGCATATAGCATAGTTCTTCCAAATAATATATATATATATTATCGTAATACGTAGTGCGTGTGTGTTCGTGAAAATTGACTGTATTTCACTGGAAGCGCTAAAGAACGAAAGTGCGCGCACAAACTTTGGAACGCGAACTTTCCGCAAAAATCGCTTTCACACTGTATACAATGCATTAGTTATTTGACATAGTGGTACTTTACACTTGTGTGAACACAAATTACAATAATCATTATAATGATTATACAACTGACTTTAGTTTTAGGCTACGAATAGATATTTTATAAGAACGAAGTATCATTTTGTACTCGTCTAACTATTACCATAGATATAAGATTAACAAATTGTGTAATGATAGGGAATATAAACGAAATGAGCTATATTAAATATAACTTTCATTTGGATGTATTTTTTTTCTATTGTATACTCATTTATAATTTTTGCATTTATAGATTTTCTTAGCGTTATGTATACATTACAAATTTATAGGACAGCTACGTTTCTTGTTTATCTAATGAGTTATTTTTATTTTCTTAATAGTTGTACTTAACGATGTCCACAAGAGCCGAACCATTTTTTAGTTTTTTGATAGACTTAACATTGGCAGCAATTTCTTTAAACACAATTCATTATAACGCACATAATTTATGTAAGAATGAGTTTTCTAATTTAATAAAATGAATTAGTGATATTGTAGTTTTATTTTATTTACCGTATTAGTAAGAAGAAACGCTGCAAATAGGCCCCCTGCAAGGCGATCTGTGTCTACATCCTAAGTTACCTGCATCTATAAATTACCCAAGACCTACCTTTCTTTAATGTACACTGAAGGACCATGCTGGGAAATCGTAAAGTAAATTGCCAAGAATAACAATTGCAATATGAATCCTGGAATTCGTGAAAAAGAATTTTTAGGAAATTACTGCCCTTAACACGTTCATTGCCAAAGCTAAAATTGAAGTTTTCTGCTGGTGGCCCAAAACTTTTTTTTTATGAAATAACTCTTAAGTACAGCAAATACTTTTTGCGGGTGTGTTTATGGTTTTAGTATATATATTTAATATTTTATATAATATAGTTATATATCACTCGACGTCGCGTGATGGGCCATGTGGAGTGTACATTTATCCTTAGGGGCCCCATCACGCGACGTCGAGTTTTGGGATACCTTAGCACTTTTGTGTAATTATGAGTTTATATGTATAAAATTAAATATTTTTAGTATCAATAATTTTTATTTGAATTATCATCATCATTACAGCCCTTCACAAGTCCACTGCTGAACATAGGCCTCCCCCAAAGAATGCCACAAAGCACGGTCCTGAGCCACCTGCATCCATCGACTTCCTGCAAATCTTACCAGGTCGTCACTCCATCTAGTGGGGGGACGCCCTACACTTCGCCTGCCGGTACGAGGCTGCCACTCGAGAACCTTTCTTCCCCATCGGTTGTCGGTTCTTCGAGCCATATGGCCGGCCCATTGCCACTTCAGCTTACTAATCCGTTGGGCTATGTCGGTCACTCTGGTTCTACTGCGGATATCCTCATTTCTGAGTTTATCACGCAGAGAAACTCCGAGCGTAGCCCTCTCCATAGCTCGCTGAGCGACCTTGAGCTTCCTCATCCGGCCAGCAGTGAAGGACCACGTCTCAGTTCCGTATGTCATCACTGGCAACACGCACTGGGTGTACAGTCTCGTTTTCAAGTTTTGAGGTATACCTGACGAGAAGATGTGCCGTAATTTCCCGAACGCTGCCCAACCGAGTTGAATCCGTCGATTGACCTCTCGGTCGAAGTTGGACTTACCTAGTCGGACTATTTGTCCCAGGTAAACATACTCGTCAACAACTTCGAGCTTAGTGTTCCCAACAACTACCGGCATAGGTGTGACATGGACATTAAACATGATCTTTGTTTTGTCCATGTTCATCTTAAGACCTATCCGTTGGGAAACACTATTGAGGTCATTGAGCATAGTGCTTAGGTCCTCCAGCGATTCTGCCATAAGGACTATATCGTCGGCAAATCGAAGGTGAGTGATGTACTCGCCATTGATGTTGATACCGTATCCTTTCCAGTCCAGAAGCTTGAAAACGTCTTCCAATGCAGCGGTGAAGAGTTTCGGGGATATGACGTCACCCTGTCTTACACCTCTCTGCAATTGGATAGGTTTCGTACTCTGGTTCTGTACTCGGATAGCCATCGTAGCCCTATTGTACAAGCACTTCAACACTTCGATATACCGACAGTCAACTTGGCATCGCTGAAGGGACTGCAGCACCGCCCAAATTTCGACGGAATCAAAGGCTTTCTCATAGTCCACATACGCCAGACATAGTGGCAAATTGTACTCCTCGGACTTCTGTACAATTTGACGAAGGGTATGTATGTGGTCTATGGTGCTAAAGCCTTTTCGGAAACCGGCTTGTTCGGGAGGCTGGAAGTCGTCAAGTCTGCGCGCGAGACGATTCGTAATGACTCTCGAAAACAGCACGTAGACGCGGCTCAGAAGGGAAATCGGTCTGTAGTTCTTCAAGAGAGCGTTGTCGCCTTTCTTGAAGAACAAGACCACCGCACTTCCGCTCCACGCCTCCGGTGTAATGCCACCATGGAGGACGGAATTAAAGAGCTTCTGAAGGACTTCAAGTACCGGTTTTCCACCCGCTTTCAGAAGCTCCGCTGTAATTCCATCCTGGCCTGGGGCCTTGCCGTTTTTAAGGTGCTGGAGAGCCATTCTAATCTCGCTCAGACTGACGTCCGGGATATCATCGGAATAATGTCGGATAAGACTCGCTCTTGGATCGTTACTCACACTTGCGTGTGGCTCCAACGATGACGTGTACAGCTGCCCATAGAACCTCTCAATCTCACTCAAAATCTCAGGTGCCCCGGAAACGATGCTGCCACATTCGGTCTTCAGCTTTGACAGTTGGCTCTTTCTGGCAGACAGAACTCTGGCAAAGACTTTGGAGCCTTGGTTCCGCTCGATCGCTTCTTCAATACGAGCTGTATTGAAGTTGCGTAAGTCCCGCCGCATGCATTTGGAGATCTGTCTGTTCAGATGCCTGTATGCTGTCAAGTCTGTTGAAGAATGTAGCTTCATCTCCCGTCTAACAGCCATGAGATTAAGAGTGTGATCGGAGAGTTTTTGTGTTCTTCTGCGGCGGGTCTTGCAGAACTTAGCTCCGACCGCATGGACAGTTTCCACGAGCTTGTCATTCAAATCGTCCACTTCATTGCAGTCTTCTAGGCACTGAAAACGGTTTTGCAACTCGAGCTGAAAGGTTTCGGGACTTTGGATTAGAGCACGAGGGGGACGGAGCGTTGACTTCATTAGACGAGACCTCTCCAACTTAACGTTTAGGTTCAGTGTGCCTCTAACCATTCGGTGATCGCTGCCGGTTTTCACCCTCGCGATCACTGAGACATCACTGAACAGTTGTCGTCTGGTCGTCATAATGAAGTCAATCTCATTTTTTGTCGAACCGTCGGGGCTCGACCAGGTCCACTTCCTGTGGGACCGCTTCTGGAAGAAAGAGTTCATCATAAAGAGTCCCTCTTTCTCCATGAAGTCGGCCAACTGCTGGCCCCTTGGGTTCCGTTGCCCTATTCCAAATTTCCCCACTTTCAGCTCACCGTTCTCTCTTGTGCCTAGTTTTGCATTGAAGTCTCCCATTAACACCGTATATTGGGTTTTGGAGGAATGCATGGCTCTAGAGATATCCTCATACATTTCCTCCACCTCCTGATCGGGGTGTGCCGAGGTTGGTGCGTAAACCTGTATGACCTTCAGCGAATACCGTTTGGTGATTCTGAGTATAAGGTACGCAACCCTCGTCGACACACTCTCAATCTTTACAACGTTGTTAACGAGAGACTTGTGGACGATAAATCCAACACCTCCTTGGGACAGATGGTCGCCCTCCCGGTGATAGAGCAAGTTGCCGGATTCGAGGATTACCGTGTCCTCCCCCTCTCTTCGGACTTCGGATAATCCTATAATATGCCAGCGTAACTTGTCTATCTCTTCTTCCAGCTCCACAATCTTCTCGTCAGTCCTCAGGGTGCGTGCGTTGTATGTTGCCAGGTCGAGTCGTTGTAGGTGGCAACCGAACCTCCACCGGAGATTCTTAGCACCCCCTGCCCCGCCGTTACCATGGTCGCCACCGTAGCCAGGAATAGCGGGGCCGCCGGGGACTGGGGGCCGTCTCTTCGTAACTTTCATTATGGGGGGTATATTGCCATAGTTGCCACGCTTGGCGAGCGGGTTGGCAACCGCAGTTTTTTATTGTATTTTGTCGTTACCAGGAAGATGCTGCTGCCCATCTCCTGCCTGTTTCCCTTTGTCGCCTTTTACGACACCCACGGGAAGATATGGGGTAGTGGATATTCTTAACCGCCACTACACGGCTTTTTTTGCCGTGTAGTGGCGGAAATTTGAATTATATAACACAAAAAATAACAAAATATCAAAGAAACATGCAAAATAAAAAAAATCTTCTAAATATTTTAGACACCGAAGTCTACAATTATAATGAACAGCAACTTTAGGAAAGACTGGCAAACACGTGGAAATTTAAAATCAAGCCATCCGGTTCTGCGAGCACGTATAGTTTGATGCCATACTTGCGCCGTTTCCCTTTGATGTATTGTCGGAAAAATAGGCGGCCACGCCATAAATCCATCGACTCGTCTAAAGATATGTTCTGGCCTGGATAATATATATTATTCATTGTATTATTGAAATTGTCGACTATTTTTTGACATTTATTTAGACGCCTAGCAGTGGCGTCTTCTTCTTCATCAGGGAGAGTAAAATGTATACAACGTAAAATAATAAAAAATCTGTTTCTTGACATGTATTTCGAAAAGCATGATTTATATAACCAGTGACCCTTCCAATAATCTGTCAATCGGTTCATTTTTGCAGTGCCAGTATGTAACAGAAGGCCCAGAAATGTTTTGAACTCTTCAACGGTCAACTCTTTCCATCTTGAAATACGTGAATGACGATGTTCACTGGAGCTTTTCATACGTTCGGCGTATCTGTTTGTGCACTCCACGATCATTCTCAAATATTCTTCATTGAAAAATAAACGAAAATAATCTATTGGATGTGATGGCGGTTCTACATGCAGCTTTGACTCTCGAACGAATAGTATTTGTTTCATAGACGAGCAAGAAGTACTCCAGTGTGAGGTTGATCCTTCAGGTTCAGGAGACTTATGTGGCATAGCTGACTCTTCAATCGTTTCATTCAACTCCTCCCTTTCTGCAGATGAAAATCGAATTTCACTAGGTGGTAGCGGTGATATAACTCCTTCTTCATCTTCTTCCGACTCCAGGGTTGAGCTGTCTCCATCATCATCACCCAAAAAAAATCTTCGTCTTCATCACTTCCCACAAAATCATCCTCATCAGAGTTTCCTAAAGCGTCAAGAATATCCGATTCGTGCAACAAAACACGTTTTGATTGCGCTCGCAAAGGTATCTCGTTTGATCGTTTCGTACACCTAGAGGTACCAGGTTGATGATCACTCATTATAAATTATGTTTTATTATAATTATTATCACTTTATACTACAAAAAAATACGTATTATTTGTTCACAACTAACTAAAAACAAACAAGTAAGACGTCGGGCTCGAGCGGCGACGCTAAGCGAAATAACCAATTACGTAGTACTAAA